ACTTCTTATGAAGAGAGCAGCACTCACCTTGAAGATGCTGAAGAGGCCTGCCGATTTTTTAAAGACGTCCGACTTGACGAACTCTTCCAGTTTGGCCAGAGTCTCATCCAGGTGGCTGATCGCACAGAGACCGAGGCAAGAGGCCAGGCCCTGGAAGGGAAGTGGGATGGAGTAAAGAGTCAATCCAGCAAAGGACCCAGACACCACGCCCAGCAGAGTGGACAACATGAAATTGTATGATTGGGGTCTGGCAAGGGCCTATTAAGGCTTGCCAAGGCTGAAGACACTATCCTAAGAAAATTGGAACCTGGTGATGAGGAAGCACAGCATACAAACCATCTACACACCCAACTAAGAAAATCCAACCAATGGTATGTTCAGCAAAGGATGAGAGGTATCCTCTCACCTCTGCAGGAGTCTCCCAGATACCTTGCAGCTGTGGACAAATCTACATAGGGACCACCAAACCCAGCAGCATTGCCCAAACATGCATCAAGGAATATGAAAGGCACTGCAGACTACTTCAACCAGAGAAGTCAGCCCTAGCAGAGCACCTGAGGAACCAACCTGGACACAACATATTATTGGAGAACACAGAAATGCTGGACCACTGTCACAACCACCATGTCAGGCTACACAGAGAAGCCATTGAAATCCACAAGAAGCAGGTGGACAATTTCAACAGAAAGGAGGAAACCATGAAAAGGAACAAAATCTGGCTACCAGTATTAAAAAACACCAGAATCAGGACAACAACAACAAAAATAAACCTTATTTATACCCCGCCACCATCTCCCCAACAGGGACTCGGAGCGGCTTACATGGGGCCAAGCCCGAACAACAAGCTACAATATAACAGTACAAATTGTAATAAAATAAACAACATAACATTAAAATGTAAAACATCAAAACATATAAAACAATATACACAGAACATAGGAACCAAACATAATGACAGAGAGTGGGTAAATAAGTAATAAAATAATAAAATTAATAATAATAAAATAAAATAATAAAATACATAAGGAAAACCACTCAAAAACAAGGAAATTCCAGACAGCAAACAATCAGGAGCACTTTAACACATCCCAAACGAAGAATATCTCCAGGCAACAACAGCCATAATATCCCTCACTGATTGACTTTGCAGCTGCAAGGCTACTCAATGCTAATCAAGCTTGCTAACTGCAACATCCACAATTGCTTCTGACATAAAAGTTTTTTTTCTCCCACCCTGGACAGCATTCCACAAATATATATACACTCCACTTGCCTCATTTCCAACAGACCTCTGAACAAACCTCTGAAGATGCCTGCCACAGATGCAGGAAAAACATCAGGAAAGAATGCTACTGGAATATGGCCACACTGCCCAAAAAACTCACAGCAACCCAACAACTGGAAAAAAAATGCTATATAAAGAGACACTTTCCTTTTGGGAAAGTGTGCCAGACGTTTGGGGAATGCAGAACCTGGTCATCCACCACCTCCTTTCCAAGATGGGCTGAATGAAGGTGGTGGTGAGTGTTGGGGTTCAGCCTGTGTGTGAACCTGTACCTGACTCTCTGATTGTATTTCCTGATGTCAATGAAGATGTCAATGATTCTGAGGTCAATGTAGAAGATGACGGTTTGTGTAGTGAAAATCCTGCTGCTTTGGAAAGCGAATTGGTTTCTAATTTGATAATAGCAGCTAAATTGTTAATAGCAAAAAAATGGAAAGAAAAAAAAGAAATTCAATTAGAAGAATGGTATAGGGAAATTTGGAATATAGCGATTAATGATAAGCTAACTTGCAATATTAAAATTAAAAGGGGAATATGTAAACAAACAGACTTTTGGAAAATATGGGGAAAATTTATCGAGTATGTGTTTAATGAGGGAAAGGGGTATAAGCCAGCAAGAGAAACAATGATATTTTGGAATGGTGAAACAACATGAGTTGGTTGGTCCTGGTGGAGGAGGGGGCACAAACTAAGGGTAAGGGGAAGGGGGGGGAGTATCAAAGAGAAACAACAGGAATGGACCATGGTCAATATCCAAAGAGTGCTCATCATTATGTTTCCAAAACAGAATAAGATTGAATGATGGGACATGTCTAGAATTTGCATGTTGCATATATGTTATGATTATATTGTATTTGGAGAGTGAATGAGTGACTTGATTATAAGGATTGGTCAGATTCTAATTATTATTATTTTGTTTTGTAAATTGAGAGAAGTCTGAATTGATTTATAGTTAGTTAGAATTTGTAGTAGTTATAGAGTATGGGAATAATTTAGTGATAAAGGTATGTTTACTTAATGTGTTTATGTTAAATTGAATAAATGCAATAAAAATAATTTTAAAAAAAAAGAAAAAAAGAAAATCCTGCTGCTTTGGAAAGTGAAAGTCCAAATTCCCATGAGAATGATTCAGAGCCAAGCGTTGAACTTTCACTCCCTTTTAGCTCTCCAGATAATCTGACACCTGGTCCCTCTAACGAGGATAGACGGGGACAGATTTGGCAAAGCAGAGGCGAAGCGCAGAGTTTACAGAGGTCAGCTAGATTAAGAGAAATGCAAGCACGGCCTTTAGGTACGTCATGAAATTGATTTCTATGCTTTAAAAACGCTTGGCCTGGATGCCCATTTAGTCCAGGCATCGTTTCAGATTCATGTGCAGACTCTTGCAGCTCTCCTGCTTCCAGTGGCTTTGTTCCAAGGAGTTTTCTAGTGCTTCGAGTACGGTTAGTGGATTGCTAACAGGTTCCAGGATTTAGCAGTGTTACTGTGGGTTTTTGATTTTGTTCATGGACATTTCTTGTTGCTGATTTTTACTGTGGCTTTTTACCTTACATTTTCCCTCTATTTTTGTACTCATCTTTCCTCAATAAAAAGGATTATTTTTTCCTGAAGTCAAGTGTGGTGGATTGTTGTCTTAGGGTCCAGTTTCCTGCTCTGGGTTGCAACAGTGAGTATGCATGGGATTGAATTCCAATTCCAATCCCTCTCCACAACTTCCTTACCTCCCTTTCGGCCTCCTCCTGATACCGGGCTGTTTCCAGGAGGTCCTGAAGCTGCTTCCGCACCAGGTCCTTGTTGTCGCAGGCGGCCAGAGCGGTCCCAATGCATTTGTAGAGGAAGTTCTGGCGGAATACAGAAGAGCGGGGAGAGCGCAAGCGTCACCCTCAACACAGCCTCACTGACCACTGCCTAAAGCAGGAGGGGCTCAATTGCCAGGCCCGGTCAAGTGTGGATTAAACCCAGAAAAGCCTGACTTGGTCATGGTGGCCCACGCCTTAGTTACATCCAGAATGGACTACTGTAATGCACTCTATGTAGGGCTGCCTTTGAAGATGGCTTGGAAACTTGGCAGTCAGATTACTAACTGGGGCTAGTTTTAGGAGCATACCACACCCCTTTTAAAGACTCCACTGGCTTACCACGAGTTTCCGGGACCAATTAAAAGTGCAGTTGATTACCTATAAAGCTTTGGGTCCAACTTATCTTCGAGTCCGCATCTCCTTTTATGAACCGATGTGGGCTTTGAGATCCGCCGAGGAGGCCCTCCTCTCAGTCCCAACACCGTCTCAAGCACAAATGGTGGGGACAAGAGAGAGAGCGCCTTCTTGGTGGTGGCACCCGGGCCCTGGAATACCCTCCCCTAGGGAAATTAGGTTGCTCCCCCCACTGTCCAAGCCTTGCGGGCTACTTTAAAAACATGGGTTTTCAGACAGGACTTTGACCTTGTGTAATCTATGGTCAAACTTGAGGATCCCCTCTCTACTGGCCCTGACATCATCCAAGTGACAGACCTTCTCCATGGGGAAGCTGTTGTAGCTGCTCAGCCGCCGGCACATCTCCTGGGTTAGCTGAGAAGTCCAAAGGGGGTCCGAAACGGCGGCCAGGGTCTCCCGAAGGAACTGCAACAAGACGTTAGCACAGCATTAGGCAAAGACTGTGGCCGAATGAAAATCAGGCATAGTTCACATCTTTCCCAATCCACACTCTGTCTTGCTAGGAAAAAGATATGCCAAGTGGATGATCAGTAAATAATAAGGTATTTACTCTTTGTTGTGCAGAGCGGGAGGCTAATTTAACAAATTTACGACGCCATAAAAGTCTCCAGCAGCGTGCAAAAGAATGAGGAAGTACTCTATCGGTGTCATAAGTGGACGGTGAAGCAACAGCTCCCCCGGTGGCCGGAATTCAAAACATACCCTCATCAAGTTGGAAAGTTAAATAGCCTCTGTGTGTTTGTCTATATATGTTGTGTGTCTATGGCACTGACAACGATTGATAATTGAAATGCAGGGGATTTATGGTTTTTTTTTTAATGTTTTCATTGATGTTATTTGTAATGAATTTGTTTTTCAATGTTTTAACTATCTTTGTACTGTTGTGGGCATAAAATTGTGCCTTTCTGTAAACCGCCATGACTTGGGCTGAGAATGGCGGTATAGAAATATAGTAAATAAACAAATAAATAATGTTTGCCATGGTTATGTGCATTGTGATCCTGAGTCCCCTGCGGGGTGAGAAGGGCGGAATATAAACACTGTACATAAATAAAATAAATACAAACATATATACAGTGATGTGAACAGTTGCACTGACTTACACAATGTCATTTCAGAGAGATTCAAATAGTACTTAGGTGTCCATGTGAAGGATCTTCTTCCAGAAGCCCAAGAAGCAAAAAGCAAAATACAAACTGTCTTGGTAAGCTCCTACACGGGAAACCTAAACATGTAACTGTTGCCAAAACTCCCAGGCTCAGCTAGCACCGGGATTGTGGTGCAGCTGGCTGAGTGTCAGCTGCATTAAGATCACTCTGACCAAAAAGGTCATGAGTTTGAAGCCAGCCCGGGTTGGAGTGGGTTTCCAACCAATTGTGTGTAGCCTGTTGTCGACCTTTGCAACCCGAAAGACAGTTGCATCTGTCAAGTAGGAAAATAAGGTACCACCTTAAAGTGTGGGGAGGCTAAATTAACTGATTTATGAGGCCATAAAGAAGACTCCAGCAAAGCATTCCAGCGGGGAAGCATGCGGGGAATGCGGAAGTGCTTCATCAGCATCACAGATGGACGAGGAAAGCGACAGCTCCCCTGGCGGCCAGAAAAAGTTAAATAGCCTCTGTCTATGTCTGTATATGTTTGTATGTCAAAAATTGGCATTGAATGTTTGCCATATATGTGTACACTGTAATCCGCCCTGAGTCCCCTGCGGGGTGAGGAGAAGGGCGGAATATAAAAGCCGAATAAATAAATGAATAAATAAGAAGCAAAAAGCAAAATACTAACTGTCTTGGTAAGCTCCTGCACAGAAAACCTAAACATGTAACTGTTGCCAAAACTCCCAGGCTCAGCTAGTTTCTCAGGCGTAGCCCAACCAATCAGCTTTGTGCTTTGCTGTAATACATCACTGCCAACCAGAAAGCAGCAAGTTCGAAGCCCGAGTTGGCTTGAGCACCTGACTGTTAAGCCTCGCTTACTGTCCACCTAAGCATTTCGAAAACAACTGACCTGTAAGTAGAAATATTAGGGACTACTTAAAGCGAGGAGGCATTTTACCGCACCATAAAAATGCTGGCGGTCAAAATGGCTCGGTGTCATAGTGGACGAAGCAACAGCACCCCCATGGGGTTGTAATCGAGCATAATTTCCAAGCACAGAAGTGGAAATGCCAAAAATACCTCTAGTCGCCTTGAGTCGCCTTCGGACTTGAGAAAGGCGGGATAGAAGTATCATAAATAATCTATATATCTATATAAATAAAAAATGTAATGTTTGTTTGTGGGATCAACATACCTCAACAACCACTGGACGAACTGCTGCCAAAGACACCTACTAACCCAAGGAGTGACCATCACTCAAAAAACTCATTTGGAGTTGCAGGGAATTATAGTTCACCTACAATCAAAGAGCATTCTGAACTCCACCAATGGTGAAATTGTGCCAAACTTCCCACACAGAACCCCCATGACCAACAGATAACACTAGAAGGGTTTGGTGGGCATTGACCTTGAGTTTGGGAGTTGTAGTTCTCCTTCACCCAGAGAGCACTTTGGACTCAAACAATAACAGATCTGGACCAAACTTGGCACGAATATTCCATATGCCCAAATATGAACACAGATGGAGTTTGGGGGAAATAGACCTTGACATTTCGGAGTTGTAGTTACTGGGATTTATAGTTCACTACAATCAAAGAGCATTCTGGAACTCCACCAATGATGGAATTGAACCAAACCTGGCACACAGGACTCCCATGACCAACAGAAAATACTAGTGGGTTTGGTGTGCATTGACCTTGAGTTTGGGAGTTGTAGTTCACCTACATCCAGAGAGCACTGTGGACTCAAACAATGATTGATCTGGACCAAACTTGACACGGATATTCCATATGCCCAAATATGAACACAGATGGAGTTTGGGGGAAATAGACCTTGACATTTGGGAGTTGTACTTACTGGGATTTATAGTTCACCTACAATCAAAGAGCATTCTGAACTCCACCAATGATGGAATTGAACCAAACTTGGCACACAGGACTCCCACAACCAACAGAAAACACTAGAAGGGTTTGGTGGCCATTGACCTTGAGTTTGGGAGTTGTAGTTCTCCTACACCCAGAGAGCACTGTGGACTCAAACAATGATGTATTTGGACCAAACTTGACACGGATATTCCATATGCCCAAATATGAACACAGATGGAGTTTGGGGGGAAAAGACCTTGACATATGGGAGTTGTAGTTACTGGGATTTATAGTTCACCTACAATCAAAGAGCATTCTGAACTCAACCAATGATGGAATGGGGCCAAACTTCTCACACAGAACCTCCATGACCAACAGGAAATACTTAAGGCCATCCATTCCAACTCCCTTCATCAGGGCTAGAGAACGTAATCAGAGTCCTCCTGACAAAGAGCCATCCAGCCATAGATTAGATAGATAGATAGATAGATAGGGAGTTGTAGTTGCTGGGATTTATAGTTCACCTACAATCAAAGAGCATGATAGAATTGAACCAGCTGGGCACACAGGATTCCCATGACTAACAGAAAACACTAGAAGGGTACTACATACAACTCTGCGAGTGCAGCTTTTTTCTGAATGAAGCAGAGAGTGTTTGAGGACTGGGACATCCGAAGGGAGACCAACGTGCTTGTTTACAAAGCTATCGTCCTCCCAGCCCTGCTATACGCTTGCGAGACATGGACTGTTTACAGACGTCACATGCAACTCCTAGAACGATTCCATCAGCGCTGCCTCCGGAAAATCCTGCAAATCTCTTGGAAATCCTGACATTTAGATCTCAAAATGGCCAAGGACCTTTCTATCTTAGGGACCGCCTCATTCCTTTTTCTCATCAGTGGTCACCTCGATTCACCCAGGAAAATCTCCTATACATCCTGGGCCCGAGGGAAGGAGGTACACCTGGAAGCTACAAGGCATAGAGCTTTTTCGACCTATGCTCCAATTCTGTGGAACTCATTGCCTCCACTGGACCCCACTCAATTCGTCAACTATTGGCCTGTTTCCAATCTCCCCTTTTTGGGCAAAGTCATGGAACGTGTGGTGGCCTCACAACTCCAGGCATTCTTGGTAGACATGGATTATCTGGATCCGCACAGTCTGGCTTTAGGCCGGGGCATGGTACCGAGACAGCCTTGGTCGCCTTAGTGGATGATCTGCGTCGGGAGCTCGACAGGGGGAGTGTGTCCCTGTTGGTGCTGCTCGACCTCTCAGCGGCCTTCGATACCGTCGATCACGGTATCCTTCTGGGACGCCTCGCGGGGATGGGTCTTGGAGGTACTGTTTTGCAGTGGCTCCGCTCATTCCTCGAGGGTCGGTCCCAGATGGTGTTATGGGGAGACTCCTGTTCAACCCCACAACCTTTGTCTTGTGGGGTTCCTCAGGGTTCAATACTGTCTCCCATGTTGTTTAACATCTCATTCCTCGAGGGTCGGTCTCAGAAGGTGTTATTGGGAGACTCCTGTTCAACCCCACAACCTTTGTCTTGTGGGGTTCCTCAGGGTTCAATACTGTCTCCCATGTTGTTTAACATCTACATGAAGCCGCTGGGCGAGATCATCCGGAGTTTCGGAGTGCGATGTCATCTGTACGCAGATGATGTCCAACTCTGTCACTCCTTTCCACCTGCTACTAAGGAGGCTGTCGAGGGCCTGAACCGGTGCTTGGCCGCTGTGACGGTCTGGATGGGGGCGAACAAATTGAAATTGAATCCAGACAAGACAGAGGTACTCCTGGTCAGTCGCAAGGCCGAACAGGGTATAGGGTTACAGCCTGTGTTGGATGGGGTCGCACTCCCCCTGAAGACACAGGTTCGCAGCTTGGGGGTGATCCTGGACTCATCGCTGAGCCTGGAACCCCAGGTTTCGGCGGTGACCAGGGGAGCCTTCGCACAGTTAAAACTTGTGCGCCAACTGCGACCGTACCTTGGGAAGTCTGACTTGGCCACGGTAGTCCACGCTCTGGTTACATCCCGCCTTGATTACTGCAACGCTCTCTACGTGGGGTTGCCTTTGAAGACAGTCCGGAAGCTCCAGTTAGTCCAACGGGCGGCAGCCATGTTTTTAACAGGAGCTGATCGCAGGGAGCATACAACTCCCTTGCTGAACCAGCTCCACTGGCTGCCGATATGCTACCGGGCTCAATTCAAGGTGCTGGCGTTGGCCTTTAAAGCCCTAAACGGTTCTGGCCCAACTTATCTATCCGAACGTATCTCAGCCTATCAGCCCACCAGGACCCTAAGATCTTCCGGAGAGTCCCTTCTCTCTATCCCTCCAGCTTCAGAAGTGCGGCTGGCGGGAACGAGAGATAGGGCCTTCTCTGTGGTGGCCCCCCGGCTTTGGAACACCCTCCCTATAGAGGTACGATCAGCCTCTTCGCTGATGGTGTTTAGGAAGAGACTCAAAACATGGTTATTCAAACAAGCATTCGGCTAATCTGTGGCAATTAAATCGAATCTTGGTGACTATGGACAGGAAATATGGACAACGAACTCTGGATTGTGATTTTAACTTGAGATATATGGGATTATTATTGGTGGCCCAATAATTTGTTATTGTATTTGTATATGTTTTTTAAACTGAGATTGTTTTTAAAATGCTGTAAACCGCAATTGAGTCGCCGTTCTAGGCTGAGAAATTAGCGGTATACAAGTGTACCAAATAAATAAATAAATAAATACGTTAGAGCAATGTCGGAGTTGCAACCTTTTGTAAAGGCGCTCAAGACTTAGCTGTTTGGTTGTGCATTTAAGTAATCAGATCAAATTTTGCCATAGTCACTGTTGAATGTTTTTATATTGTGTACATGCTATTTTTGATGGTAAGTTGCTCAGAGCGCCTTGGTGGAGAGTGACTAATTAAGAAATAAAGTGAAGTGAAAGACAACATGCTGGAAAAAGCAAAGACCACCAGCATTGAAGCGATGGTCCTCCGCCATCAATTCCGCTGGGCCGGTCACGTTGTCCGGATACCTGACCACCATCTCTCAAAGCAGTTGCTCTACTCTGAACTCAAGAATGGGCAGGAAAAGAGATTGAAAGATGGGCTCAAAGCCAACCTTCAAAACTCTGGCATAGACACTGAGAACTGGGAAGCCCTGGCCTGTGAGCGCTCCAGCTGGAGGTCAGCTGTGACCAGCAGTGCTGCAGAATTTGAAGAGGAACGAATGGAGGGCGAAAGAGAGAAACGTGCCAAGAGGAAGGTGCTTCAAGCCAACCCCAACTGGGACCGCCTTCCACCTGGAAACTGATGCCAAAGATGCAGCTCAAGAACAGGGCTCCATAGTCACCTAAGGACCCACCCTGGAGGATTATCCTACTCGGACAACGAGGGATCGATCGCCTAAGTAAGTAAATAGCAAAAACGGATGGAAAAGCTGCACTCACCTTCAGCAGCCGCTCCTCCCATTCCTTCTGGGACAGGGACGCCGTCGTGTTTGCTGGAATTGGAAGAGAGAGAAGGAAAGAGTCACGGCCTGCGCTGCCCAATGCGACCCACCTTTAAGGGCTGAGGAGGGGTCCCACTCAAAGCCTGACAGAGCTGGGAATCTCAATATCTGAAAAGTGGTCCTCTTCCAAAGTATACTTTCTAAGTCTAGTATTTGCTACAAGGCCCTTTCTGCCTTCAAGGGCTGAATGGCATTGATTTTGGCTTCATTTCGACACCAGGTCGAAACATTTCAGCATTACGACTACTGCTATTTATTATGATCATAATCATCATCACCTTCATAGAATCCTAGAGTTGGAAGAGACCTAGTGGGCCATCCAGTCCAACCCCATTCTGCCAAGGAGCAGGAATATTGCCTTCAAAGCACCCCCAGCAGATGGCCATCCAGCCTCTCTCCAAAGAAGGAGCCTCCACCACACTCCGGGGCAGAGAGTTCCACTGCTGAACAGCTCTCACAGTCAGGAAGATCTTCCTCATATTCAGGTGGAATCTCCTTCTCTTGTAGTTTGAAGCCATTGTTCCATTGCGTCCTAGTCTCCAGGGAAGCAGAAAACAAGCTTGTTCCCTCCTCCCTGTGGCTTCCTCTCACATATTTATACATGGCTATCATGTCTCCTCTCAGCCTTCTCTTCTTCAGGCTAAACATGCCCAGCTCCTTAAGCCGCTCCTCATAGGGCTTGTTTTCCAGACCCTTGATCATTTTAGTCACCCTCCTCTGGACACATTCCAGCTTGTCAATATCTCTCTTCAATCATAGAATCATAGAATCAAAGAGTTGGAAGAGACCTCATGGGCCATCCAGTCCAACCCCATTGCCAAGAAGCCGGAATATTGCATTCAAATCACCCCTGACAGATGGCCATCCAGCCTCTGTTTAAAAGCTTCCAAAGAAGGAGCCTCCACCACACTCCGGGGCAGAGAGTTCCACTGCTGAACGGCTCTCACAGTCAGGAAGTTCTTCCTCATGTTCAGATGGAATCTCCTCGCTTGTAGTTTGAAGCCATTGTTCCGCGTCCTAGTCTCCAGGGAAGCAGAAAACATGCTTGCTCCCTCCTCCCTGTGGCTTCCTCTCACATATTTATACATGGCTATCATATCTCCTCTCAGCCTTCTCTTCTTCAGGCTAAACATGCCCAGCTCCTTAAGCCGCTCCTCATAGGGCTTGTTCTCCAGACCCTTGATCATTTTAGTCGCTCCTCTGGACACATTCCAGCTTGTCAATATCTCTCTTGAATTGTGGTGCCCAGAATTGGACACAATATTCCAGGTGTGGTCTAACCAAAGCAGAATAGAGGGGTAGCATTACTTCCTTAGATCTAGACACTATGCTCCTATTTATGCAGGCCAAAATCCCATTGGCTTTTTTTGCCGCCACATCACATTGTTGGCTCATGTTTAACTTGTTGTCCACGAGGACTCCAAGATCTTTTTCACACGTCCTGCTCTCGAGCCAGGCATCCACCCATTCTGTATCTTTGCATTTCGTTTTTCCTGCCAAAGTGGAGTATCTTGCATTTGTCACTGTTGAACTTCATTTTGTTAGTTTTGGCCCATCTCTCTAATCTGTCAAGATCGTTTTGAATCCTGCTCCTGTCCTCTGGAGTCTTGGCTCTCCCTCCCAATTTGGTGTCGTCTGCAAACTTGATGATCCTGCCTTCTAACCCTTCATCTAAGTCATTAATGAACTATGTGCCTTCAATTGTGGTGACCAAAATTACACACAATATTCCAGGTGTGGACTATTGAACTGGTTATATCACTTGTATGGTTTTACATTTTTTTAAAAAAATGCTTCACTTGATCTTATTTGTATGTTGCACTGAGGTCCTATTAATCTCCAAGAATACAGAGCATGACCTCACCATCCAGGTTAGATAAGTTTCATGGATATGTGAAACTACAAATAACACTATGTGCCATAACAATTTTTAAATAAAATCCTGTTCCTGGTTTGAAAGCATTGTTTCCTGATTTATTGTTTGGGCCTTACTTTGAAAGTAGATGTTATACTCAAAAAACTTTGTTTTCATGGCTGCCAGAAACTAGGTTGAATTGGTTGAGACACTGAAAAACGAGAGCAAAAGGTGCTGCAGGATGAAGTCCCTCTTGCAAAGACAACCTTTTTGCACTGTTAATAAACTTTTTCCATATTTTTATGATCGGACCCATTAGGAAGTGACATTTACAACAAAGGAACAAAACACACATTACATAGAGTAACGAATCTTATGGAGAGGAAGGATTTTTGGGCCAAGAATGCTACAGAGTCACGGAGGACCTAAAAATGCATAGAGAGAACAATCCTTGTCCGATGTGGATAAATAAAACTGTTTCTGATAGCAATGAATGACTTTTGGCCCAAGAATACCATTGCATTGTGCTGGGGGGAACTAGAAAAGGCCTCAAGGGGACATATTTTGTTGGATGGGGATAGAGGAAACAGTGGCTGCTGGCCCCAAGGATTTGGAGCTCATGCTTCATAATTATTTGGACCAAAAAGACAAGTAAACAAATACCGATGGGTCATCCCCTTACCTTCTAGATGTTCCACCAGAGCTGGGATCTTCTTGCTCCAGAGGGGCTTCAGGGCTTTATGGACACTCAGCTGCAGGACGTTCAGGAGGCGGAGGGAGGTGGCCCCCCGGCCCTCCCCCAAATAGGGCTGGGAAGACACCACCTGAAGGGAGAGAAGGAGGAGGGACAATGGGGAGAGGGCAAGGATGCGGCCCTGCTTCCATCGCCATAAGGACCCCACAAGTGTCACAAGTAGGTTGAACTTTTTTTGTCATGTCAGGAGCCATTAGTGCCAATGCAGGAGTCCCACAGCTGTAAGACTGTAGGTTTTATATAGCAATATTAAATGATCACTCACAAGCCGGTTTTGCTTTGAAATGAATATATTGCTTGTATCTCTGCAGCAAAGAAAGACACTACTGACTTTTTCCCACCACCACTTCCTTTTATACATCGTTCCTACCCATCTCCCCCTCTTCTCAGTTTCCTTATTAGAGGTTGTTGCTTCACAAGTTCCAATACAAGGTTTCCAACTCCCTCTGCTGGCTTCAAAATGTCACAGAGAGAAAACTGAGGCAGCCAGGATGATTCAGTCAGGATGTCATGGAGGGAATTTGTAATGTCTTCATGCCATCAGAAATTGACTCCTGACACAGCTCAAGCATCTTTGTGTCATGGATAAATATGGATTTCTTTGTGTGTGCCAGGAACAACTTGAGAAACTGCAAGTCGCTTCTGGTGTGAGAGAATTGGCTGACTGCAAAGACGTTGCCCAGGGGACGCCCGGATGTTTTGATGTTTTATCATCCTTGTGGGAGGCTTCTCTTATGTCTCCGCATGAGGAGCTGGAGCTGATAGAGGGAGCTCATCTGAGCTCCCCCCCGGATTTGAACCTGTGACCTGTCGGTCTTCAGTCCTGCCGGCACAGGGGTTTAACCCTCTGCGCCACTGGGGACTCCCAGTGGGTAGGTTGGATGAAATGGTATGATTGGGGTCTGGCTAAGGGTCCATTGAGGCCTGCCAAGGCTGAAGACTCCACCCTAAGAAATTCAGAAAACTGCATTATAGAGAAACAAAGGAGGTGAGGATTGGATTCACTTTGGTATGAAACCTTCTGCTGATGAAATACTGCTGACACAACTGACCTGGGAACTTTTGGTGTAAGCAAAGAGACAATGATTCTTTAAGGTAAGGAAGTCAAAACAATGGCTCCTTATGTTAAGGAAGAGAAACAACATCTGTTCCGGAATTTCTTGAGATGCAGCAAGTCTTTGCTGAATAACAAGTTGTCAAAACAACAACAGCAAAGATTCTACATCAAGAGACACTTTTCGCTTTGCCAAGTGTGGCAGATCTGTGAGGACTGCAGCCTGTCCACCTGCCTCCTGGATTGAATGAAGGACAGTGAGCATGAATGTGGGAAAGAGGGAGGGTTAGAAATAAAATGTATTATTATTATTGACACAAAAGCACCGTATGTCACAGCAAACGAGATCTCTATGCTGGGTTTCGTCTCACAAAATCATAAGTCGAACCCTTCCCAAGCGTCTAGGACTGTGTGATGTATTTTCGAATGATGCGCACAGATCCAAGTCAGGAGGCCTTTTGCACTTGACAGATCGTGATTTTGTCGATGTTTATTGTTTCCAAATGCCAGTTGAGATCTTTTGGCACGGCACCCAGTGCGCCAGTGACCACTGGGACCACCTGGACTGGTTTATGCAATCAGAGCCTTTGCAGTTCGATTTTGAGGTCTTGATAGCGGTTGTGTTTTTCCTGTTGTTTTTCCTCAATCCGACTGTCCCCTGGAATGGCGACACCCATAATCCAGACTTTTTTTCTTTTCCACCATCGTGATGTCTGGTGTATTGTGTTCCAAAACTTTGCCAGTCTGGATTTGAAAGTCCCACAGTAGTTTTGCATGTTCCTTTTCCACTCCCTTTGCAGGTTTATGATCCATTTACCAGTTCTTGACTGCTGGCAGATGGTCTTTGTGACATGAGTTCCAGTGAATCATCTGGGCCACAGAGTTGTGCCTCTGTTTGTAGTCCGTCTGTGCAATTTTCTTGCAACAGCTGAGGAGATGGTCCATGGTTTCATCAACTTCCTTGCACAGTCTGCATTTTGGGTCATTTTCTGATTTTTCGATCCTGGCCTTAATGGCTTGCTCCTGGGCTGCAAGAACAGGCCTTCTTCTGTCTCCTTCTTCAGGGTTCCATTCGTGAGCCATCACCAGGTCTTCTACTTGTCAACCTTTCCTTCAATCTTCTCAAGGAACTGCCCATGTAAGGCTTTGTTGTGCCAGCTGTCAGCTGTGGTTTATTATTATTATTATTACTATTATTATTCACCATAACAATACACTAGAACAGTTACAGAACAAATGTTTGCTGAGGCAAAATGTATGAAGCCTGGGAATAAAGCATGTGCACATCTTTGGAAAATCTGAGCAAACTGGATTCTGTTCCCAGAAGAAGAAAGACGGGCAAATGCTTCTCCCTCCCTCTCTCCCATTTCCCAAATCTGGAGACTTACCAACAGCCGCACGGTGAGAGCATAAGGGGACGGGAGGCCTGCTGCAAAGAAAAGAAAAGCATTCCAGAAACCAGAATCATGTATTTGCACATGGAAAGAAAAAAAACACAAATGTGTGAAGACCTCACTGCATCACCTGGACACATCCAGAACCCTCCTCTCACCCAAATACACCCAAATATTGACATTTGCCTTTGTGGCCCCTCTTAAAATGATGACGAAAAGGGGCACAATGTCACCTTCAGATGCCATTTTGAGAGACATTACAGAGAAAAACAAAGGGGAGGCATCTTTAGTGGTTTACTTTATTGTTGGGGCACCACAGCCCTGAGAGGCACAGGAGAAAAGTCAGAAAGTAGGTTCTTGTGGGTTTTTTGGGGCTATATGTTCTAGAGACATTTTCTCCTGACGTTTTGCCTGCATCTATGGCAAGCATCCTCAGAGGTAGTGAGGTCTGTTGGAACTAGGAAAGTGTGTTTATATATCTGTGGAATGACTGGGGTGGGGCAAAGAGCTCTTCTCTGCTGGAGCTAGGTGTGAATGTTTCAACTGACCACCTTCATTAGCATTTGAAAGCCAGACTGAACCTGGGGGAATCTTTTGTTGAGAGCTGTTAAGATGTGCCTGGTTGTTTCCTCTCTGCTGTTTTGCTGTTGTAATTTTACAACAGCTCTCAACAAAAGATTCCCCCAGGTTCAGCCAGGCTTTCAAATGCTAATGAAGGTGGTCAGTTGAAACATTCACACCTAGCTCCAGCAGAGAAGAGCTCTTTGCCCCACCCCAGTCATTCCACAGATATATAAACCCATTTCCTAATTCCAACAGACCTCACTACCTCTGAGGATGCTTGCCATAGATGCAGGCGAAACGTCAGGAGAAAATGCCTCTAGAACATGGCCATATAGCCCCAAAAAACCCACAAGAACCTAGTGATTCCAGCCATGAAAGCCTTCGACAATACATTAAAGTCAGAAAGACTTGGCAAAACCACCACTTTTGCTCCTGCTTTGAATCGGATAAAAGGGACCCTGAGACTGAGGCGGAGGGAGAACCAAGTTAATCCGCCTCGCATAATAGTCGCACCCCCATTTTTGGTTTTGTGTGTGTGTTCCTTGCATAATAATAGTTGAATCATTTGGGGCTGATTCCCCACTTCCTTCCTTCTTTCCATCTCCGAAAGCAAGGCAATTTGTGAAAACTATAAAATAGAAGTCTCTGGAGCTCCACTCTTCTCTCTTTCCTCCTTCCTCCAAGGCCTTAATGCTGTTTACAAAACCTGAAATTGAGCTCTTTGGAAATCGGATCTTCCCTCCTTCCTGCAAAGAGCTTCATTCCAGGTTTTGTAAACTGCATTAAGGCCTTGGAGGAAGGAGGAAAGAGAGAAGATTGAAGCTCCAGAGACTTCCATTTTGCCTTCAGAGAAAGAAGGAACAAAAGAAGTGAGGAAGGGGGAATCTTAACTCCTCCTTTCTTTGAGTTTAAAGGCAGTTTAAAACAAACAAACAAAGAAACAAAGCTCCTGCTTTGAATCGGATAAAAGGGACCCTGAGACTGAGGCGGAGGGAGAACCAAGTCAATCCGCCTCGCATAATGGTCGCACCCCCATTTTTGGTTTTGTGTGTGTGTTCCTTGCATAATAATAGTAGAATCATTTGGGGCTGACTCCCCACTTCCTTCCTTCTCTGAAAGCAAGGCAATTTATGAAAACTATAAAATGGAAGTCTCTGGAGCTCCACTCTTCTCTCTTTCCTCCTTCCTCTGAGACCTTAATGCAGTTTACAAAACCTGAAATGGAGCTCTTTGGAGATCAGATCTTCCCTCCTTCCTGCAAAGAGCTTCATTCCAGGATTTGTAAACTGTCTTGCCTTCAGAGAAAGAAGGAACTCCTTTCTCTGAGTTTAAAGGCAGTTTAAAACAAACAAATAAACAAAGCTCCTGCTTTGAAACGGATAAAAGGGACCCTGTGACTGAGGCGGAGGGAGAACCAAGTTAATCCGCCTCGCATAATAGTCGCACCCCCATTTTTGGTTTTGTGTGTGTGTTCCTTGCATAATAATAGTTGAATCATTTGGGGCTGATTCCCCACTTCCTTCCTTCTTTCCATCTCCGAAAGCAAGGCAATTTGTGAAAACTATAAAATAGAAGTCTCTGGAGCTCCACTCTTCTCTCTTTCCTCCTTCCTCCAAGGCCTTAATGCTGTTTACAAAACCTGAAATTGAGCTCTTTGGAAATCGGATCTTCCCTCCTTCCTGCAAAGAGTTTCATTCCAGGTTTTGTAAACTGTTTTGCCTTCAGAGAAAGAAGGAACAAAGGTGAGGAAGGGGGAATCTTCACTCCTCCTTTTTCTGAGTTTAAAGGCAGTTTAAAACAAACAAACAAATAAACAAAGCTCCTGCTTTGAATCGGATAAAAGGGACCCTGTGACTGAGACCGAGGGAGAACCAAGTCAATCCGCCTCGCATAATAGTCGCACCCCCATTTTTGGTTTTGTGTGTGTGTTCCTTGCATAATAATAGTAGAATCATTTGGGGCTGACTCCCCACTTCCTTCCTTCTCTGAAAGCAAGGCAATTTATGAAAACTATAAAATGGAAGTCTCTGGAGCTCCACTCTTCTCTCTTTCCTCCTTCCTCTGAGACCTTAATGCAGTTTACAAAACCTGAAATGGAGCTCTTTGGAGATCAGATCTTCCCTCCTTCCTGCAAAGAGCTTCATTCCAGGATTTGTAAACTGTCTTGCCTTCAGAGAAAGAAGGAACTCCTTTCTCTGAGTTTAAAGGCAGTTTAAAACAAACAAATAAACAAAGCTCCTGCTTTGAAACGGATAAAAGGGACCCTGTGACTGAGGCGGAGGGAGAACCAAGTTAATCCGCCTCGCATAATAGTCGCACCCCCATTTTTGGTTTTGTGTGTGTGTTCCTTGCATAATAATAGTAGAATCATTTGGGGCTGACTCCCCACTTCCTTCCTTCTCTGAAAGCAAGGCAATTTATGAAAACTATAAAATGGAAGTCTCTGGAGCTCCACTCTTCTCTCTTTCCTCCTTCCTCTGAGACCTTAATGCAGTTTACAAAACCTGAAATGGAGCTCTTTGGAGATCAGATCTTCCCTCCTTCCTGCAAAGAGCTTCATTCCAGGTTTTGTAAACTGCATTAAGGCCTTGGAGGAAGGAGGAAAGAGAGAAGATTGAAGCTCCAGAGACTTCCATTTTGCCTTCAGAGAAAGAAGGAACAAAAGAAGTGAGGAAGGGGGAATCTTAACTCCTCCTTTCTTTGAGTTTAAAGGCAGTTTAAAACAAACAAACAAAGAAACAAAGCTCCTGCTTTGAATCGGATAAAAGGGACCCTGTGACTGAGGCGGAGGGAGAACCAAGTTAATCCGCCTCGCATAATGGTCGCACCCCCATTTTTGGTTTTGTGTGTGTGTTCCTTGCATAATAATAGTAGAATCATTTGGGGCTGACTCCCCACTTCCTTCCTTCCTTCTCCGAAAGCAAGGCAATTTATGAAAACTATAAAATGGAAGTCTCTGGGGCTCCACTCTTCTCTCTTTCCTCCTTCCTCTGAGACCTTAATGCAGTTTACAAAACCTGAAATGGAGCTCTTTGGAAATCGGATCTTCCCTCCTTCCTGCAAAGAGCTTCATTCCAGGTTTTGTAAACTCTTGCCTTCAGAGAAAGAAGGAACAAAAGTGAGGAAGGGGGAATCTTCACTCCTCCTTTCTCTGAGTTTAAAGGCAGTTTAAAACAAACAAACAAACAAACAAACAGAAACAGAGTTGTTTGTTTGAGACTGGATCATTCCTCCTCTTCCTTTGATTTTAGAGGGAAGGCAGTTTATTTTTTAAACCCCAGAAATCCAAGAATTAGAGGCAGATTTTTTTTCATCGTGTAATAGTCGCACCCTCACTTTTTCCAATCAAAAAAGGGATAAAAAAGTGAGACCCTTATGTGATGAAATACGGTATTTTTTTTGCAGAAATGAAGGTTATGCACCCAGTTGCCCACCGTTGTTGTCGTAGGTCAGCTGGAAGCCGTCGCCCTCCTCCTCTTGCCTCTGGGCCGCCAGGAAGAGGAGGCTCTTGCAGAGCGGGGTCAAGGCGTTGGTCAAGGGGATGGGGGTCACAAACTCCAGGAGGTACGGCCAGAGCACCTGCAGGAGAGGCCAAAGGGAGAGGTCCTGGTAAAGGGGGGGGTGCTCACCTGGACACCTGCAACCCACCCACACCTCTCTGTATGAACAGGTAGAAGAAATGAAGCCAGATTTCTTTGAGTTGTGACCAAGACAGGGAATGAGCTTGCTATATCCAAGCTCTGGAAAAGACACGGGAAGCATCAATAGGAGTCTATGGTCTAGATCGTGGGAAGTCATAGCCCCACTCTATTCAGCTTTAGTGAGACCTCACTTGGAATAAAGCAATAAGTACAATGTGTAGATCTATATAAATAAAAATGTAATGTTCGTTTGTGGGATTAACGTAACTCAAAAAACACTGGATGAATTGACACCAAATTTGGACACAAGACACCTCTCAGGCCAATGAGTGACCATCACTCATAAACACACTGGAAAACACAGCAGAAGGGACTTTAAAAGCAAAAAAAACCCCAAAATAATTACAATGCTTGCGCAAAACCACATATATACACAAACACACATATATACACATATATACCAATTATACACACACACATATACATATATACACATGCAATACACATATACACAGAAAGGGGAAAGGAAGGAATGAAGGAGAGAAGAGAAAGAGGGAAAGAAGGAGAGTAAGAAGGAATAAAAGAAAAGTAGAGAAGGAAGGAAAGAGAGAAGGAAATAAAAAAGAAGGAAGGAAAGAAGGAAGGAAGGAATGAAAGAGAGAGGGAAGCAAGGAGTGAAGGAATAAAAGAAAGAGTGAGGAAAGGAAGGAAGGAAGGAAAGAAAGAAACAAGGAAAAATGGAACCAAAAAGCAAAGGAAGCAAGGAAAGGAACAGCTAGAGAAGGAAGAAGAAGGGAAAGAAAAAGAGGGAGGGAAGGAAGAAGAGAAAGAAAGGAGAGAACGAGGGAGGAAAGGTTGGCCACAGCTACGCATGGCGGGTACAGCTAGTAGAGCAAAATAATATAGGAGATAGCTTGACAATAGTACACACAAAAGAGATCTCGGGGTCTTCGTAGACAACAAGGTGAGCATGACTCAACAGTGTGACGTGACAGCTGAAAAGGCCAATGCAATTCCAAGTTGACTAAATAGGAGAACAGTGTCTAAAAAGTGGGAAGTCTTCGTCTCCTTCTCTTCTGCTTTGGTCAGATGTCACTGGGAATAACCCTGTGTCCAGTTCTGGGCAAAATAATTTAAGATTTGGATACGGACAAGCTACAACATGTCCAGATTCGGGCTTCCAAACTAATCAAGGTCTGGAAGCTATGAATCCCTCTGAGGAACAGGTTAAGGAGCTTAGGATATTTAGCTCGGAGAAGAGGAGGTTGAGAAGGGACAAAGGATGTCTCATTGAGGAGAAAAGGACAATCTTGTTTTCTGCTGCTCCAGAGACTAGGACATAATGGAGCCATGGATTCAAAGTTCTGGAAAAGAGATTCCACCTAAACTTTGGGAAGAACCTCCTGATGGTTGGAGCTGTTTGATAGAACATGCTTCTGCTATCCAGAGAGTCTCCTTCTCTGGATGGCCATCCGTCGGGAGGGCTTGGGTGGAATCTTCCTGCTTGGAAGAAAGGGGTTGGTCTGGGCTGTCCTTGGGGTCTCTTCCAACTCTAGGATTCTATGAAACAGCGTATAATCCCAGCAGTGCTTTGGTGCCAATAGCCTTGGCCTGCAGATGGAAGGGCATGCTGCTGACTTGGTGGGGAACCCCTTTGGCCATAAAATGGGGGTCCGCACCCCAATTCTGATGCTTTTGAAGGGGCTAGAGTTAGGGAAAATAGAAAATTACCATCCAAAATAAAGTTCAGACAATATCTTGCATGTGCTGTGGAGCAGAAGGGAGTGAATGTCACGTATCATGTTCTGCAGTTGATGGTAGTTGGTGATGGAAGGGTTAATGTAAGCATTAGTTCTAAAGCAGTGGTTCTCAACCTGGGGGTCGGGACCCCTGCGAGGGTCGCCAGGGAGTGTCAGAGGGGTCGCCAAAGACCATCAGAAAACAGTATTTTCTGTTGGTCATGGGGGTTCTGTGTGGGAATTTTGGTCCAATTCCATCGTTGCTGGAGTTCAGAATGCTCTTTGAGTGTAGGTGAACTATAAATCCCAGCAACTACAACTCACAAATGTCAAGATTCTATTTTCCCCAAACTCCACCAATGTTCACATTTGGGCATATTGAGTATACATGTCAAGTTTGGTCCAGATCCATCATTGTTTGAGTCCACAATGATCTCTGGATGTAGGTGAACTACAACTCCAAACTCAAGGTCAATGCCAAAGACCATCAGAAAACATAGTATTTTCTGTTGGTCATGGGGGTTCTGTGTGGGAATTTTGGTTCAATTTAATTATTGGTGGGGTTCAGAATGCTCTGTGATTGTAGATGAACTATAAATCCCAGCAACTACAACTCACAAATGTCAAGATTCTATTTTCCCCAAACTCCACCAGTGTTCACATTTGGGCATATTGAGTATTCATGTCAAGTTTGGTCCAGATCCATCATTGTTTGAGTCCACAGTGCTCTCTGGATGTAGGTGAACTACAACTCCAAACTCAAGGTCAATGCCCATGTTGTGTGCCAAGTTTGGTTCAATTCCATCATTGCTGGAGTTCAGAATGCTCTTTGATTGAAGGTGAACTCTAAATCCCAGCAACTACAACTCCCAAATGACCAAATCAATCACCCCCCTCCAACCCCACCACTATTCAAATTTGGGCATATCGGGTATTTGTTCCAAATTTGGTCCAATGAATGGAAATACATCCTGCTTATCAGATAATTGCATTTTAATTAATAACAGGAGCAAAATTACAATTATGAAGTAGCAAAATAATGTTATGGTTGGGGGTCACCACAACATGAGGAAATGTATTAAGGGGTCACGGCATTAGGAAGGTTGAGAAACACTGTTCTAAAGGGTTGAGTAATCTGTAAGTAAGAGTTCATGGGTGAAAGCTATTAAAGGTGGAGGTATACAAGAGATAGGTTGCAGCTGGGTGTTTCTGGATATAAGGAGCTAGCCTTGGAACTGAACTTTGGGAGAAAAGTATTTGTATTATTTTGGTGGTAGATGCTGCTGGTTTTCCCCCAGGTTTGTGGATTTTGGGTGTCCTGACCTGTCTCTTGAACCTTTGGAATCCTGGAACCTTGAACCTTTGGACTGGCTTTTGACTACGGTATAGACTCTTGATCCCTGGACTTTGTTTATTGAACTCTCGGCGTTTGACCACTGGACTGGACCCTTTTGACTGTGGAGTTATCTTGAACCTACAACAGTTCTTTGCTGTTTTTGTTTTATATTCTGTGGCTCAGTTTTATGTTTAAGTTTTTTTAAAAAGATATTTTATTATATTTATTTATTTATTTAACTTGTATAACGCTACTCCCAATTTGGCTCGGAGCGGTTTACAGAAATAGATTAAAAACAATACAATTAGCTTTAAAATGACCATAACAATAACAATAGGCAGCGAGAACAGGCATAGTCCGGGTTGCTCACCCATCAAAAGCTTGTCAGAAGAGAAAAGTTTTACAGGCTTTCCGAAAAGCAGGTAGGTCTCGGATGGTTTGAGTTTCAACTGGCAAGGCATTCCATAAATAAGGGGCCACGATCGAGAAGGCTCTATGCCTAGTAGATGACAAATGATAGGTCCGGATGTTAGGGACTGCAAGCAGATTTTGGTCTTCAGACCGGAGTAATCTCTGGGGTTGGTAGGGGGATTAAGTTGTTTTATACAAACTGGGTTTTTCTTTGGTTCATCTCTGCCTCTATAAAGGCAGAGCCCTGGCATTGTGATAATAACCAAAAGGAGGGGAGAGTTCAAGCCTAGGAAAAAGTTGAAAGTAATAACATGGAAGACGAAAAATGACCGCTGAGACAACACTGGTAAGAGAGGTGCCAGAAAAAAACAAAGGGGACCCAGCAGGGAGAGAACATGACCACTGCAACCTCACCACACTGCTACTTTAATGGCCGCGCCACCCATTGCCCCGCTGCTGGAATACCTGCGCTGTGTGCCTCCATAGCCACACTGCCCATCATTTGGACATTGGAACACCTGTGTGGGCGCTTGTTTTCGGGGTTCCCCTGCCTCTCCTGTTGCTTCAGACCACTTTTTCCATCAGCCCACTTTGGTTGGGATTCAATGTTTACTTTTAAGCTCTTTTTTGTATTTATATTTGAACTATTGTATGTTTACTTTTAAGCTTTTTTATTGTATTTCTATTTGGATTACTTCTAAGCTTGTTATTGAATTTATATTCGAATTATTATCATTGTATGTTTAAATTGATCTGTTAATTGTTTAAATTCATATGTTATTCTTATTATTATATGTGTAATGTGGCATTGTATGCCATGGATTGTAAGCCACCCTGAGTCCCCCATTGGGGTGAGAAGGGTGGGGTATAAATGTAGTATAATAATAATAATAATAATAATAATAATAATAATAATACTGAATGAAATTGTTTATGTGCACGTGTTGAAAGCATGCTCAACATTTTGAAAGCTAAGCTGCATCTTAATTGTGGTGTGGCACTTTTCTTTTAGTAGCTCCACCCGGCAGGAAGACTTGGCCAAATAAACCAATTGAACGATCTACTTCCTCCTAATGTCTGATTGGATAGAGACCAGCTGTTAGGAAGTGGGAGGTGAAGTCCAAAACACCTGGAGGGAGGGACCAAGTTTGCCCATGTCTGCCCCAGAGGTTTTGGGGCCAGAAAGAAAGAGGGACAAGAACGAGGGCAGTGAGTCCCAACATTTTTAAGGGTGATCACTGTATGCCTGATCCTGCTTCCCACCAGCCCAGCCCTCCATTCCTGGAGCAGACTCACATCAGCCATCCTGTCGACGGTGGTGCTGATGAGGAAGAGGGTGTTCACGCTGATGTCCCGGACGTGGCTGTCGGTCAGATCCTCCATCTCCAGGGATGACCTCCGGGGCTGCAGAGGGGCCTGAGAGGGGGCAGCAGAGGCAGGCATAGTCCAACCTTTCCCAATCCCATAGGAAAGGGGCACATGAGGGTCTTGACAAGCCCACCCGCCCCACAGCACCCAACCCTCTCTTCCAATTATTTATTACGACATAACTTGTATTACTGTATGTAACAAAACTTGATTTTTTTTTCTGTGCCTGGTTCTACTCCAGGAACTTTTTAAAGTTGTGGGTTTTAAATTGTGCTTTTTTTTGGTTTTTGTGGCTTTTTGTTGTTTTGATGTTATGAGCCACTTTGCATCTCAATCAAGAGATACAAATGGGATAATACCTTGGGAAGTCTGACTTGGCCACGGTAGTCCACGCTCTGGTTACATCCCGTATAGACTACTGCAACGCTCTCTACGTGGGTTGCCTTTGAAGACTGCTTGGAAGTTTTAAAGTTAAAGCGGCAGCCATGATTTTAACAGGAGCGGAGCGCAGGGAGCATACAACCCCCCTGTTGCACCAACTCCACTGGCTACCGATCTGCTACCGGGCTGAATTCAAAGTGCTGGCGTTGGCCTTTAAAGCCCTAAATGGTTCGGGCCCAAGCTACCTATCCGACCGCATCTCTGCCTATGAACCCACCAGGACTTTGAGATCTTCCGGGGAGACCCTGCTCTCGATCCCGCCTGCTTCTCAAGCTCGGCTGGCGGGGACGAGAGATAGGGCCTTCTCGGTGGTGGCTCCTCGGCTGGGGAACGCCCTTCCTACGGACATTAGACTAGCACCATCTCTAATGGTATTCCGCAAAAAGTGAAGACCTGGCTGTTTGAGCAGGCGTTCGAATAATTAGTGCAATGATTGGTTAATGAACACTGGAATGGAACAATGGATGACGAATCTGGAACATGTTTTTGATGACGAGACAACAGTGAATGGGTATTGTAGTAACTGTTTATTAATTGTGTAATGTGTTAGGTTGTTAACTGTTTCTATACTGTAGCACTGGATTTTTGCTGTTCGTATTTGTTGTGAACCGCTGTGAGTCGCCTTCGGGCTGAGAACAGCGGTATAGAAGTAAGGTAAATAAATAAATAATAAATAATAATAACATTTTGTCTATGTATTCTTTTGTCTGTCATATATTATCTACAACAATAAAAGGAAGTGTTTACCGCCTCTAATGTATATTCTCTCCTGTTTCCTATCATAAGCTCATCTATACAGTGTTCCCTCGCTACTTCGCGATTCACTTATTGCGAACTTGCTGTTTTGCGGGAAGAGGCAAGGGAACACTGTATAGATGGCGAGGTCCTTCCTCGCCAGGCTGGGCACCCAAGGGCATTGGCGCCAGTATCATCTTCCTCATCCCTCCGCTGCTCCTCGCTCCTTCCTCACCAGGCTGGGCACCAGGGTTGTGCGCCCAGCCTGGCGAGGAAGGGACCTCTGAGAAGGGGAGGCAGTGGAGGTGGCGAGGAGGACGCCGTCGCAAAGTAGGGACTCCCCGCCCATTTGAGTGGGCCGAGCTGTCAAGTATCATGTTCTGCAGTTGATGGTGGTTGGTGGTAGTAGGTCTAGCAGTTGGTGATGGAAGGGTTAATGTCAGTCTTAGTTCTAAAGAGTTGAGTAATCTGTAAGTAAGAGTTCATGGGTGAAAGCAATTAAGGGTGGAGATATGCAAGAGATGGGTTGAAGCTGGGTGTTTCTGGATATAAGGAGCTAGTCTTGGGACTGATCTTCGGGAGAAAAGTATTTGTCGTATTTGGTGGTAGATGCTGCTGGTTTTCCCCCAGGTTTGTGGATTTTTGGTATCCTGACCTGTCTCCTGAATGTTTGGAATCCTGGAACCTTGAATGTTTGGATTGGCTTTTGACTAAAGCACAGACTCTTTATTTTATTTAGAACTTTTATATACCCGTCTTCTTACCTCCGACGAGAGACTCAGGGCGGTTTACAACATAGGAGTTCATACACAATAGTTAAAACACCACATCCTATAAAACTCTATATAAAACACATAAAATACAATCATATAATTACATAAGGCCAAGTCATCAGAATAAAATCATAATTCATCACCATCCGTCCGTGTGGTCAAGGCTTATTGACTCTCTCATCAAATGCCAGGTTCCAGAGCCAGGTTTTCACCAACTTTCTAAAGATCAGGAGGGAAGGGGCAGTTCTAATCTCCAATGGGAGAGAGTCCCAGAGCCTAGGGGCCACCACCGAGAAGGCCCTGTCCCTCATCCCCACCAAAAGCAATTGCGAGGGTGGTGGGACCGAGAGCAGGGCCCCTCCAGAAGATCTTAACAACCTTGATGGTTCATAGGGGAGAATCCGTTCGGACAGGTAAACTGGGCTGGAGTCATTTATAAATCCCTAAACTTTGCTCATTGAACTCTTGGCATTTGACGACTGGACTGGACCCTTTGACTACAGTGTAGTGTTTGCTATCAGTTTTTGTTTTATATTCTGTGGCTGAGTGCTATCTTTTTGTTTTATAACTTGAACTATTATAACAGCCAGGAAGTAAGTGCTGATTTAATTACTGTAAATTGTTTAACACAAACTGGGAGTTTGGTTCATCTCTGCCTACATATTGGCAGAGCCCTGGAAACGTGACAGAAGCATCCCTACTTCACGGATTACTCCCCTACTTTGCGGAAAACCCGTGATAAGTGAGGGAACACTGTATACAGTGTCCGTAAAGTCTATTTACCATTTAAAAAAACATTACAAAGGCAATTGATGAGATATCCTAATCCGATTTGTTCTATGTATTCATTAGTTCTCACAGTTTTTAATCACATTGCATTTGTGTATTTCAGGTCCCCTGTTGAGGAAAGAGATAGTACTGTTAAATGAAATGAACCCCTAAAAATGGCTACCCCTCAAGAGAAGGCTCATTGTGTATCATAGTTTGTTGACATCCATCCCAAAAGTAGCTGGAATCCCCCCATCCTCACCACGCGGAGTCTTTTCCGCAAGCTATACCTGGTTGGCAGGGAGAGCGCACTGCCGGACAAGGAACTCGATCAAGGCCTCTCCTCCCGGCTGCTCCAGGTATCCGTGGTGGGCCATGGCACTGATCACGTGGATCACCGCCCGCTTCACCTGCAAAAGGGGAAACAAGGAGGTTTGTGCCCTCCAAACGATCAAAGGGTCGGAAGCCAAGCCCTTCGATGTTAGATCAAAGTGGCAAAGCATTTCTAATCATACAATAAAATACTGTCTGATGAACATGTGGTATATTGGGTTGCTGTGAGTTTTTTGGGCTACATGGCATGTTCCAGTAGCATTCTCTCCTGAAGTTTTACCTGTATCTGTGGCTAATGGCATCCTCAGAGGTTTGATCAGAGGTCTGTTGGAAATGAGGCAAGTGGAGTGTGTATGTGTATGTGTATGTATCTCTCTCTCTCTCTCTTTGGAATAATGTCCAGGGTGGGAGAAACAACACTTGTCTACAAACAAAGGATGCTTTGGGCACAACAGCCAGGCTACAGCTAACTTTGGCCCTCCAGGTGTTTTGGACTTCAACTCCCAGAATTCCTAACAGCTAGTTGGCTGTTAGGGATTCTGGGAGTTGAAGTCCAAAACACCTGGAGGGCCAAAGTTTGCTAATTGCAACATTCACACTTGCTTCAAATAGACAAGGTTCTTTCTCCCACCCTGGATATTCCACGGATATATAAACACTCCATTTGTTTCATTGACAAAAGCCCTCTGAACAAACCTCTAAGGATACTTGCCACAGATGCAGGTGAAACGTCAGGAAAAATGCTACTGGAGCATAGTCATACAGCCCAGAAAACTCACAGCAACCCAGTGAATTCTGGCCATGAAAGCCTTCAACAACACATAGTATACTGATAGCACCTGAGTATGACTGTGAACATCATTATGCAATTCCTAAGGGGATGTAGTAATGGTTGAGTCATAACTATGTGAGGGTTATTGCGTGTTCTTTTCCGATGGCCTATCAACAGGTAGCTATAAAAGGATGAAAGAATCCATCTTTGTCTCTCCTATGTGACTCGGTGAGTATCTGCCTATGCGGTATATGCCTATTCGATGACTGATGGTTTGCACTGAAAGTGGACTTGCAAATACATTTATATATATTGCAACTGTGAAGATTAAATCTTCAGGATATTTTGGATGAAAACCTGAATCTGTGAGTTTACTAAACAGTGTGGTCCAATGCTGGTAGTTGGACTGCTGATAGACCAAGTGAAACGTGTTTGTCCCAAGAAAGGACTCTGTTGTATTTTGCTTGCTTCTGAGACACTGGCTATCCAGCTTGCAGTGGTTCAGGGAGGTTGTGATTTGGAAACTATAAATCAATTCACAAACCCATCCTGCGACATTCAAGAGACTTTTTAGGGGGCATTAGAAAGGACATTAGAGTGGGAAAATATCAGCTAGGACTTAGAGAGCCTTGGAGTAGAAATTTACCAGCTGAAAGCAGAGAGATGAGGCAAGTTCAAAAGGTTTGTGCCTAGTAACAAGCAGGAAGGGGAGAATGCAGGAGGGGGGAATTGGAGGAAAAGTAGGCACAGAAAACTGATAACAGAAGACCCACTGAAGGAAACAGAAAGGGATGAGGCACCCAGTAAAGAAAATACCATGTGCACATGCTCAAAGTTTTTACTATAAAGCTAGGTTGCATCCGAGTTTTGGTGTGGCACTTGTTCACCCAGCAGGGTGCTTTGGCCAAATAAACCTGTTGAACGATCACCTTGTTTTCAGTGTCTGACCGGATAGTGATCCTGGAGGTTTTGGGGCCATAAAGAAAAGAGGAACATGGCTGAGATGGAGCATAAAATTACTGCCACCAAATTTGTGAGGAAAGCCGGGCAATGATCAATATCAACTTAGGAGCTGGTTTATAAAGGGACTATTATTTACAGAAGTATTTATTTATTTGATAGCGTAGCTCTAATTTGGTTCCTGATTTGACTTTTCTTCTTTTGTAGGCTGTTTGACTTAAGAGAAACTGTATCAGGCAAGGCTTGAGGAAAACAGTAACAAATTTATTTAACAGGAGTATAACAGATTCAATTGTTACTTCATTAGAGGCACAAATCTTGATAGGTTACATCTATAATGGTTCTTGAATAACTCTGGGAAGGGCTCTTCCTTCCACTAAACAGGTTTCAAACAGTTTCTTTATAAAGATGGTTCTTTCTTTTACAGATGGGTACAGGCACATGCTACCCTTGCTTTATGATGGTTCATTTAACATAAATAAGTCACCTGACTTAACATAAATAAGTCAGGTGACTTATTTATTGGCTCACAGCCAAACCCTGATTCTTAATATTAAAGAATCAGTCTTTCCTATAGTTCTCCAACTATAGGATTCCTGCTGGTTTTCCACACACCACAGGATCAACTACCTCTCCTGTAACTCTTTGGTCACAGACTAGTTCCCTGAATCTCCCACCAGAGATTTCAGTCTTCTCTGTAACTCTAACAGTCACAGACTAGTTCCCTGTTTCTCCCACTAGAGAAATCAGTCCTTTCTGCAACTCTAACGGTCACAGACTGCCTATTTCAAACAGCCGTGCAGCTACGTGATAGTTGGCTCCACACCCGTTGCTATGGCAACTCAGGCCAAGCCAGCCACCATCTCTGACAAAATATAATTCTACATACTTACCATTTATTAACTACTGTTTAAACAACACATAACTATAGGAACAAAATTACACATCGTCACAATGGCAGTATGCCCCAACACAATGAAACAAAGGATCCAAATGGTAGGAAAACAGATTCCTCCCCAGCAGTGGAATATGTTGCCTCAAAGTCTCATAAAGGCTCCTTCTCGGGAGGTTTGAAACAGAGGCTGGATGACCATCTGCTGGGATGGGTCTGACTGGGTGTTTCTGCCTGGAAGAAGGAGGTTGGACCGGATAACCAAGGCATGGGCAAACTTCGGCCCTTAAGGTGGAGGGCTGAAGTTTGCCTATTCCTGGTTTATACTCACATAGAAGTCTAGAAACTAAGCAAAGTGGATATGGCAATGGAGGAGAATGGCAGGGGGAGAACACACAGGTCAAAAAGTACAAACGCTGCCCTCACCCTGTTGCTGTTGTCCTGCAGAGGCAGCTTCATGGAGGACAGGATGAAGGGCTTCTTGATCTCAATCTGAGAGGCTGAGTGGGAGAGGAACGGAAACCAATGTGCCAGTGTTGTCCACCTGGGTAAGTGCCCGCCACTGAGCCTCATTCCAAGTGGAAACCCACCCCTACCCATCCTCATAACATCCCCCAACCCCAAGGAGACCTTGAGCCAGAAGGCTGAATCATGCGAGTCCACGTTGGAGGAGGAATTACAATGAGGTCCCATGTCCACCAGGACCCCATAAATTTGGGGGTTTGGCTTGGAAGCCAGGAAGCCGAGGGTCCTGGGAAGGCCTCATGTGCAGACTCACTGGCGCTGTTGATGATCTGTCGCAGAATGGTGAGGGTCCCCACCCGGATCCTCTCGTTGCCCGACTCCAGTTTTGGAAGCAGAAAGCCCAGCAGGCGATCAGGGAATGAAGAGGCTACGAGAGTGAGAGAGAGAGAAGCCAACCATTATGCCCAAGGTTGCCTGGAGAGCCATTATGGTGTTGAAGCCAGGATGTGCAAAGAGAATTTTACAAGGAAGAAGAAATTAAGAATGGGTTAAGAAAAGAGGAGGAGGGAGCAAAAAGGAGTGAGAAAGAGTGAAGGAATGTTAGATAGAAATGGCAAGGCATTTCTAATCATAGAATAAAATAATGTTTGATAAACATGTGGAATATTGATAGCCCCTGGATATGACCATGAATGTCATGATGCAATACCCAAGGTGATGTGGCAATAACTGAGTCACAACCACGTGAGTGCTATAGCAAAGGAGTTGCATCAGCAGGTGGCAATATAAGGAGGAGGGAAGAATCCATCTTTCTCTCTCCTATGTGACCCAGTGTGAGTATCTGCATATGTTGTATGTGACTATTTGATGACTCTAGATTGTTTGAAATGGCAAGCTGAAAGTGGATCTGCGAATCTTGTTTGGACATTTTGTAAATGGGAAAACTGCTACAAAACAGGAGCTTTTTTGTTGAGTTCCAGGGCCAGAGAAGTAGATGGCGGAAACAGAAGAACGGCCTGCCGCAGGGGAGTGTGCTTGCTCCATCCTTACCAAGCACTGTGAAGCAGCGAAGGACCTCATTGTGGTTCTTCAAAGGGACCGGCATGGAGGAGTCCAGAGGGGCACAGATCTAGTTGAGGGGAGAAGAGGGCGGAGAATAAGGCTTCGGGAACCAGAGAAGACCCTCAAACTGGTGAAATATGAAGTGGAATTTGGGGCTCCAACCCCCACATGGATGCTCTCCCTCCCCCAAGAGCTGGTCAAGCTGGGAGAGTGGACACTCAAGAGGGGAAAGAGGTCCTTGAACCCCCGTAGAGGAGCCTGTCCAGATCTCAAAATGTTCAGAGAGTGGCCCTTCTCTCAATCCCACTGTCCTTTCAGGCAGGACCCGACAACATGGGACCCCAAAACTTGTGACCCGTCATTCCCAGGAACATCACCCTCTTTGCTTTCTTTCAGCATCATCATCATCATCATCATCATCATCATCATCATCATTCAGATAGACTTCACAAGGAGAGGTTCTATTACTCTACGTCACTGGTGGTCTCCCATCCAAGCATTAACCAGGCCTGGCCTTGCTTAGCTTCCAAGATAATTTTAACTACCGTATATACTCAAGTATAAACCGACCCGAATATAAGCTGAGGCATCTAATTGTACCACAAAAAAACTGGGAAACCATATTGACTCGAGTATAAGACGAGGGTGGGAAATGCAGCAGATACTGGTCAATTTCAAAATAAAAATGGATCCCAATAAAATTGCATTAATTGATGCATGAGCAGGTTAAATGCTTTTGAATATTTACATAAAACTCTAATTTAAGATAAGACTCCCCAACTCTGACTGAACCATTATTCTAACCTTCTTCAATGTAAATGTGCTCACGTATCCTTCTAATAATAAAGCCAGTAAAATAATAAATGCAATAATGGAAATATAACAATAACAGTACTAATAGAATAAAATACTAGGTGCCTGGCCGCTGTAATGGTCTGGATGAGGGCGAACAAACTGAAATTAAATCCAGACAAGACAGAGGTACTCCTGGTCAGTCGCAAGGCCGAACAGGGTATAGGGTTACAGCCTGTGCTGGACGGGGTCGCACTCCCCTTGAAGGCGCAGGTTCGCAGCTTGGGTGTGACCCTGGATTCATCTTTGAGCCTGGATCCCCAGGTTTCAGCGGTGACCAGGGGAGCATTTGCACAGCTTAGGCTCGTGCGCCAGCTGCGCCCGTACCTTGGGAAGTATGACTTGGCCACGGTGGTACACGCTCTGGTCACATCCCGCCTTGACTACTGCAACGCTCTCTACGTGGGGCTGCCCTTGAAGACGGCCCGGAAGCTTCAGCTAGTCCAGCGCGCGGCAGCCATGTTACTAACGGGAGCGGGACGCAGGGAGCACACAACGCCCTTGTTGTTCCAGCTCCACTGGCTGCCGATCTGCTACCGGGCCCAATTTAAGGTGCTGGTGTTGGCCTACAAAGCCCTAAACGGTTCCGGCCCAAAATACCTTTCTGACCGCATCTCGGCCTATGAGCCCACGAGGGCCTTGAGATCGTCTGGGGAGGCCCTTCTCTCGATCCCGCCTGCCTCACAGGCACGTCTGGCAGGGACGAGAGATAGGGCCTTCTCGGTGGTGGCCCCCCGGCTGTGGAACACCCTCCCTGTTGACATCAGACAGGCGCCCTCCCTTATGGCTTTCCGTAAGAGCCTAAAGACCTGGCTATTCGAGAAGGCATTTAACTGAGTGCTATATCAGCTGGTAAGGACAATTGGAACGGAATATGGACTTTGAGATTGGTTATGATTCTATGTTGTGACGATGCGGATTAGCTTAGTGTAAATTAGATTAGAGTGTATTATTGTGATGTTGATTTTTCTTGTGCTTTATTGTAAATTGTTTTTATATGTTGTACACCGCCGCGAGTCGCCCTAGGGCTGAGAGCGGCGGTCAACAAATGCAATAAATAAATAATAAATAAATAATAAATATAATAATAATACTAAATAGAGTAAAATAATAAATGTAATAAAATAATAATAGATTAAAACTTTGTAAAAGTAGTAATAATAGAGTAAAATAATAAATGTAATAATAATAATAATACTAAATAGAGTAAAATAATAAATGTAATAAAATAATAATAGATTAAAACTTTGTAAAAGTAGTAATAATAGAGTAAAATAATAAATGTAATAATAATAATAATACTAAATAGAGTAAAATAATAAATGTAATAAAATAATAATAGATTAAAACTTTGTAAAAGTAGTAATAATAGAGTAAAATAATAAATGTAATAATAATAATAATACTAAATAGAGTAAAATAATAAATGTAATAAAATAATAATAGATTAAAACTTTGTAAAAGTAGTAATAATAGAGTAAAATAATAAATGTAATAATAATAATACTAAATAGAGTAAAATAATAAATGTAATAAAATAATAATAGAGTAAAACTTTGTAAAAGTAGTAATAATAGAGTAAAATAATAAATGTAATAATAATAATAATACTAAATAGAGTAAAATAATAAATGTAATAAAATAATAATAGATTAAAACTTTGTAAAAGTAGTAATAATAGAGTAAAATAATAAATGTAATAATAGAGTACAATAATAAATGTAATAATAGAGTACAATAATAAATGTAATAATATTAAATAGAGTAAAATAATAAATGTACTACTACTAATAATAGAATCAAATAATAAATGTAATAAAATAGAGTAAAATAATAAATATAATAATAGAGTAAATTAATAAATATAACAAATATAGAGTAAATTAATAAATGTAATAATAATAAATGGAGTAAAATAATAAATGTAATAACAGTATTAAATAGAGTAAAATAATAAATGTATTACTAATAATAGAATCAGATAATAAATGTAATAATAATAGAGTAAAATAATAAATGTAATAATAATTGAAGTAAAATAATGGGAATGTAATAATAATAACAGTAATAATAGAGTAAAATAATAAATGTAATGATATTAATAGAGTAAAATAATAAATGTAATAACAGTATTAAATAGAGTAAAATAATAAATGTATTACTAATAATAGAATCAGATAATAAATGTAATAATAATAGAGTAAAATAATAAATGTAATAATAATAGAGTAAATTAATAAATGCAGTAGTAATAAATGAGTAAAGTAATAAATGTAATTAAATAATAATAATAATAATAATAATAATAATGAGGTAAAATAATGGGAATGTAAGAATAGTAATAACAATAGTGTAAAATAATGGAAATGTAACAGTAACAGTAATAGAGCAAAATAATGTAATAATAACAATATTAAATAGAGTAAAATAATAAATATAATAATAATAGAGCAAAACATTGTAAATATAGTGCTAACAATAGTAAAGTAAAATAATAAATTTACTAATATTAAAGTAATAAATGTAATACAAAATAATAGAGTAAAATAATAAATATAATAATAATAATAATAATAATAATAATAATAACAGAGTAAAATAATAAATAACTGACTCGAGCAAAGGGGTCTTTTTCAGCCTAAAAAATGGGCTGGAAAACTCAGCTTATACTCTTGAGTATATATGGAATTTACTTTTCACAGCTGTATGTTTAATACTATTTTCTGTTGTAGATTTCAAATCCTCCATTGTGTTGTTTTTAGCATTGTTAGCTACTTTGGAATCTCCTTTGAGAAAAAGAGGGATACAAATATGACCATGACAACAACAACAGTACCAGATGAATGCAGCCTAAGCGAAGCAAGGCCAGTCCTGGTTGGTACTTGGATTGGTGATGGCTAACAAATACCTGTATGTCTTTGAGTGTCACCCCCAGAATTTCCCACCCAGCAGGACCCTTGTTACCTGGAGCTGGAGGGCGTTGAGGAGGGCGTCCAGTTGCGTGTCCAAAGTCCGGCTCCCGATGTTGACCGAGGCTTCGAGGATCTGGCACAGACTCTGTTAGGGGAACAAACTGGCAACATGAGGTTGGCACAGGAAGACTCTGGCCCTCCTTCCAGGTGTTTTGGAATTGTGGGAGATGAAGTCCAGAGTGCCTGGAGGGCCCAAGTTGGCCCATGCCTGTGCTCTACTCTACTTGTATCATCTAATTAATTACTAAAAAGGAATTGAGGTACACATTCCGCAACACGTGCACCCCACTCCGTGCCTACCTTGGAGACGTAGTAGGCCTCGGCCGGCTTCCTGTAGAGAGCCAGGATTCCCGGGACGAGGCGCGGGAGCTGCTCCTCCAGCTTCTCGCTGGGCAGGAGGTGCGTCATGGGCCCCAGGGCTTCCACCACGGCCAGGCGCAGCTGTGGGGAAAGCGGGGAGACATCACACACCACTGGCTACGGCAAGGCCCTTCATCCCAGGACGTAAAGCTCTGCAGTATTTGTTATGCTCTGAAGTAGGGACACTTCACCCACTCAAGTGGGAGGAGCATCCCTACTTCGTGGATTTTCACTTATCGCGGGTGGTCCTGGAACGGAACACCTGCAATAAGTGAGGGAATACTCTGTGTGTGTGTGTGTGTATACACACACATATACATACACACTAGCTGTGCCCGCCACACATTGCTGTGGCCAACCTTCGCTCCCCCTTTCTCCCTTTCTCCCTTTCTCCCTTTCTTTCTTTCTTTTTCTTTCTTTCTTTCTTTCTTTCTTTCTTTCTTTCTTTCTTTCTCTCTCTCCTTCCTTCCTTCCTTTTCTACCTCTTTCCTTCCTTCCTTCGATCTTTGCTTCCGTGCTTCCTTTTCTCTTTCCTTCTCTCTTTCTCCTTCTCTACCTTTTTCTTTCCTTCTCTCTCTTTCCCTTTCTCTCCCTCCTTCTCTCCTCCTTCCTTCTCTACCTTTCTTCTTTCCTTCCTTCTCTCCTTCCCTCCTTTCCCTCTTTCTCTCCCTCCTTCTCTCCTTCCTTCCTTCTCTACCTTTTTCTTTCCTTCCTTCTCTCCCTCCTTCTCTCCTTCCTTCCTTCTCTACCTTTTTCTTTCCTTCCTTCTCTCCTTCCCTCCTTCCTCTTTCCTTCTTTCCTTCCTTCTCTCCTTCCTCCTTCTTCCCTCCTTCTTCTCCTTCTCTCCTTCCTTCCTTCTCTACCTTTTTTTTCCTTCCTTCTCTCCCTCCTTCTCTCCTTCCTTCCTTCTCTACCTTTCCTTCTTTCCTTCCTTCTCTCCTTCCCTCCTTCGCTCCCTCTTTCTCTCCCTCCTTCCTTCTCTACCTTTCCTTCTTTCCTTTTCTCCTTCTTTCCCTCTTTCTCTCCCTCCTTCCTTACTTCTCTACCTTACTTTCTTTTCTTCCTTCTCTCTTTCCCTCTTTCTCTCCCTCCTTCTCTCCTTCCTTCCTTCCTTCCTCCTTTCTGTGTATATGTGTTTTCTGTGTCTCCATATGCAGATATGTGTGTTTGTGTATATATGTTTTGCGCATGATTTGTAATGTATTTTTGGGTTTTTTTTTTTTTGCTTTTTAAGTCTCTTCTGCTGTGTTTTTATGAGTGATGGTCACTCGTTGGCCTGAGAGGTGTCTTGTGTCCAAATTTGGTGTCAATTCGTCCAGTGGTTTTTGAGTTAGGTTAATCCCACAAATCAACATTACATTTTTATTTATATAGATATGTGTGTGTGTATGTGTGTATACAAACACACACACATATACTTTGCATGTCTCCGTTCTTACTCTGTAAGGCACCTGATATACTCTGTCTCACTGCAAACGGAATAAAAGAACATTTTTAAGGTTCAAAAAGCATTCAGGACAGTGGCCTCACCTTGGCTTCCCGACTCTGGAGCCAGCCGTAGAAGAGCACTTCGTAGGCGCTGAAGATCTCATTGGAGAAGGTGTCGCGGCGGACGGTGGGGTCTGGGGCCTTGTCCAGGTTGGCCAGGTACTCCTGGATGCTCTCGCTGAAGGACTGCAGCGCTGCCGGACCCACATAATTAGCGTTAGCAACACTGCAAGCATACCCGTCTCCTTCTCCCACCTCCTTTTTGCCAGGAGAGCAATTCGGGAGAGATCGCAGAACCACGTCTGCAGGGCTCTGACCAGTATCTCAGGCTCCGAGTCCAGAGTTCAGATCCCAATAAACCAGGAATCTGTCAATGGCATTTCCATCCCCGGGAGAAGAGGCCGGCCCGCTTACCGTAGCAGAAGACGGACTTCATGTTGTCCTGCTTGGCCATCCCCAGCATGGGCAGCATCGTCCCCAGGATGGAGTTCAGGAAAGGCACCATCCCAAACACTGCAGAGGGAAAAGGGAATTGGGGAAAGCAGAGGTAGATCGGGAAAATGAGGCCAAGTCCTTCTGGGATGTCCACTGGACGAGACAACAGCCCATTCTGCTCAGAGACCGGCTGCTCTCTAAGCATGAAGGTGGGGCAGCTCTTGGGACCAGAGTGTTTGGGAATTTAGGGATTTCTGAACCTCTGTATTTGCATATATGTATTATCACCACTTTGAGTCCTCCCAGGGGTGAAAAAGGCGGTATATAAATACTGTAAATAAATAAATAAAATGATAATTGCAGATTTGATAAATGTGGATTTAATGATGTGTGGGAATGAATTGAAGAAGTATGAGTTGAGTTAATAATTTTGGAGACACTAGTATAATATTAAGGCCTGCAATGACTAACTACCTGCTTGCTTGACTGTAATTAAAAGTTGCTAATAAGAACTGAAAAGTACACTGTGATAAGAACTGTGACAATTATTATTATTATTATTATTATTATTATTATTATTACAATGGTTCTGTTGGGGTTCAGCCTGATCTGTGTGAACCTGATTCTCTGATAGTATTTCCAACTGAGCAAGCCACTGAACATGTAGTTTTCCCTGACAATGTGGAAACTGGTGTTGATGCTGAGTTCAGCGGCGGGGAAAACGAAACTGAACAGCCGGATGAAAATGTTTTGGAATCCAGCCGTGATAGCTCTCCACCTGGGTTTTTTAATGAGGACCGAAGGGAACAGATAACGAGAGACAGTAGTGATTCACAGTTCCTACGAAGGTCAAATAGATTACAGGAGAGACAGGCTCAGGCTTCAAAGTCAAGGGGCGTTTCAAGGAATAGTTTCTTTGGTTTAAGGGGCCGCCTGCCGGGTGCCTCCTTAGATCAAGCAACATTTGGGACTGTGGCTGTGCCTTGGCAGAATTCCTATGTTCCATGGCCGTTAATCCCAGAGGCTTCTAGTTTTCAAGTACATGGTTAGCGAGAGGCTAACAGGTTCCTGGTTCTTGTATTGTGGTTTTTGGAATTTTGCTCAAGTTCAGAGATTTTCCTGATTGCTGTGTTTCTATGTGGCTTTTTGACTTTGCATTTGCCTTTCTTTTGTAACCAATTTTTCATCAATAAAAAATGATTGTTTTTCCTACAGTCCGGTGTGGTGGATTTAATCTTATGGTCTCGTTTCCTGATCTGGGATGCAACAGGTTCTTTCAAATTAAGGAAATGTTTGCAACATTCCTAATGTTAAGAAGGAAGTCAACACAAGCCTTGTGTTTGTCAACACCAATCAAGAAGAGTCAACATCTGACCAGGAAACTGAGATGGAGACAGGATGGAAGGCTTCTATCATTCATTTACAACTTTGGGACGACATCAGCAGAATATTCCTATAAAAGACTCAGTCTAACGATGCTCAAAGTGTGACAGACAGAGACGGTGTTCACCCGCTATGCTTTGCTCCATGGGAAGGAGAGAGATAGTGTATCTATGGAGAGTGTCAGGTATCCTATGGGAAAGCATGATTCTGGTCACTTTGGGGCTTCTTTCTCAAGGGAAGAGGAAGAAGTGCGCTTTTGGAGTCTTAGATTTTGTGCAGGGAGTCGGATTCTGCTGTAGGGAAAACAGAGATCAGGTCCTTAGCATGGTGCTTAGGGAAAGAAGTTTTGGTATCTCAGCGTTTTGAAGTTTTGGCATTATGGAAGTTTTGGAACTATGCGTTGGCAGGCTGCAGGAAAGCAGGGTCTGGCCTAAGAGGTGCTTCTCCAAGGAGGGAGAAAAAGAGATGGTAATAGGGAAATTATTTTAGATTGTCTGCACATTTCTTCCCTCTCCAACACCTCTATCCCAATTACATGTTACCTGTTCATGCCCAGCATTATTTTTAAATTTTTAATTATTACATTTGGCCCAACTATAGGTTTTTAAATGCGTCGTGTTATTGTTTTTGTTTATTTTGCTTATGAGTATGTATTGCTTTTGTATTTGGTTAGACCACACCTGGAATATAGCGAATGGCTATTGGTGTTAATTGTATATTGTTGTTAATTGTATACTTTTCTATAATATGTTATGATGTTAACTGTTTTTTATACTGTGTTATGGTAGCATTGAATTTTTGCTGTTCTTGTTGTTAACCGCTGTGAGTCGCCTAAGGGCTGAGAACAGCGGTATACAAATAAAATAAAATAAAATAAATAAATATTGTGTCCAATTCTGGGCACCACAATTCAAGAGAGATATTGACAAGCTGGAATGTGTCCAGAGGAGGGCGACTCAAATGATCAAGGGTCTGGAGAACAAGCCCTATGAGGAGCGGCTTAAGGAGCTGGGCATGTTTAGCCTGAAGAAGAGAAGGCTGAGAGGAGATATGATAGCCATGTATAAATACGTGAGAGGAAGCCACAGGGAGGAGGGAGCAAGCTTCCTTTCTGCTTCCCTGGATACTAGGACGCGGATTCCATCTGAACATGAGGAAGAACTTCCTGACTGTGAGAGCCGTTCAGCAGTGGAACTCTCTGCCCCGAGTATGGTGGAGGCTCCTTTTTTGGAAGCTTTTAAACCAGCGTTTCTCAACCTGGGGGTCGGGACCCCCATGGGGGTCGCGAGGGGGTGTCAGAGGGGTCGCCAAAGACCATCAGAAAACATAGTATTTTCTGTTGGTCATGGGGATTCTGTGTGGAAAGTTTGGTCCAATTCTATCGGTGGGGTTCAGAATGCTATTTTATTGCGGGTGAACTATAAATCCCAACAATTACAACTCCCAAATGGCAAGGTCTATTTTCTCCAAACTCTACCAGTGTTTGGGCATATTGAGTATTTGTGCCAAGTTTGATCCAGATCCATCATTGCTTGAGTCCACAGTGTTCTCTGGGTGTAGGTGAACTACAACTCCAAAAAACTCAAGGTCAATGTCCACCAGACCTTCCCAGTATTTTCTCTTGGTCATGGGAATTCTGTGTGCCCAGTTTGATTCAATTCCATCATTGGTGGAGTTCAGAAGGCTCTTTGATTTTAGGTGAACTATAAATTCCAGCATCTCCAGCATTACCAATTGACAAAATCAATCACCCCCAACCTCACCAGTATTCAAACTTGGGAGTTTTGGGTATTTGTGCCAAATTTGGTTCAGTGACTGAAAATACATCCTGCATATCAGATATTTAGATGACCATTCATAACAGTAGCAAAATTACAGTTATGAAGTAGCAACGAAAATAACGTTATGGTTGGGGGTCACCACAACATGAGGACCTGGAAAGCAGTGGAACTCCTTCTTTGGAAGCGTTTAAACAGAGGTTGGATGGCCATCTGTCAGGGGTGATTTGAATGCAATATTCCTGCTTCTTGGCAGAATGGGGTTGGACTGGATGGCCCATGAGGTCTCTTCCAACTCTAGGATTCTATTATTGTTGTTATTGTTTATTGTTGTATTGTGGGCTCGGCCTCATGTAAGCCGCACCGAGTCCCTCGGGAGATGGTAGCAGGGTAGAAATAAAGTGTTGTTGTTGTTATTATTATTATTATGCCTGAAGATGAATGCATGTGGATGTGGTGTGAGTGTTGAGTTAAAACGCAATTCCCCTTTGTTTGTTTGTTAACCAATGTAATTGTAAATCCAATGTAGTTGCATAGAATCTGTATGTCTGTCCAATGTCATTCTTTGTCTAAATGTTTTCTGTCATCCGATGTCCCCTCTCACACTGGAAATTGCAATAAAAAGAACCTATGCTTCAAAGTTATTGAAAAGTCATTCATGACAGCACCCGTTTCTTTCACTTCCATTGGCTTTTCTTTTATAGACGGTGTGTCATTTAATACAGTGGATTCTGGCATTGAAGGGGGACACAAGCAAGAGTGGGCCATCCTGGAAGTGCCTATGAAGCATCCCAAAGGCCCACACCCATTTTCCCCCCACAAAGCCTAGCAAAACTGTGCCCAAACCACAATGGTATGCTTCCCCTAACCCTTTAAAGACATACAAACACAGTAAAAGAAAAGAAAAATGCTCCAAATCTACCCAATTGGATACTACAAAGCTTCAGGTGTATCAAAACACACCAGTGTAGCCCAATGTTTGGGAACAGCATGGAAACATGGTCTTTGTAGCCCCTGAGGTCCCTCCCAACCCATGAGACCCTTGAAGTTTTGGGAGGGAATGCAGGGCAAGGGGAAGCGTCCACACACCGTTTGCCACAGAGAGGTTGGCGAAGGTCTGGACGATGAAGTAGTGGGGCAGGACGCCCGGCTGGAACTTGGTCAGCACCTCCTCCATGACGTTGTTGGTGAAGCGCCGGCCCACCGCCACCAGGACGTTGCTGGCCGCTTGCTGCCACTCAAAGATGATGTCCTGTGTCGAGAAAGAAGTGAAGGAGACCTTCAGAAACCAGACCTACTGCCCTCCCCATTTGTGACTGGTTTATGAAGGGATGGGATGGGATGGGATGGAGGGCGTAAGACTGGTGACAGAGGCATGTACACGCAGCCAATAACAAAAGCAACATACAAGCATCTTGCAATAGTAAAAGTGTCCCAAATGCCACCTATTGGCTGTTTTAGGTATTGACACAAATTTGCTGTGATGTTGTAGTTCAGCCAGCTGATGACATTGATGGGTTTGGAGGTACAGGGCCTGATGGTTCTTGTATCTGTGGGTGCCCAACCATCTGTTGGAGCAAGATGGTTCTCCGGTTGGGAGAGCGGAGAAGGTTTTGGAGCAAGATGTTGTTTCTGAGTGTGGGAATGAAACTGCTTTGGAAGTCGACAGGCAGGGAAGGGAGGATAACATGAGCTCCTCTGAAGAAGCAGCCGGTTTAGACAATGAGGGTCTTGGGGGTGAAGGGCCTGATGGTTCTTGTATCTGTGGGTGTCCAGACAGAAGGGGCGTTGGAGCAAGATGGTTCTCCAGTTGGGTGAACGGAGAGGGTTTTGGAGCAAGGTGTGTTTCTGAGTGTGGGAATGAAACTGCTTTGGAAGCTGACAGGCAGGGAAGGGAGGATTTTATGAGCTCCTCTGAAGAAGCAGTTGGCTTAGACAGAGATAGCAGACTGCTCCTACGGGGGAAGAAAATCAGGTGCAAACTAAGCCATGGGAAGGAGAGGCAGAAGCAGGCCTCTCAAGGTCAGCGGAATACCTTCATATACTGCAGCCCTTAAATTAGGGAGAGAGCGGTTAGGATTTTTAGATCAAGCCATGTCGCTATTGGAGTGGGAAACTCCTGTCTTGTTCCTGGTTATGCTCTAAACTCAATAATAATAATAATAATAATAATAATAATAATAATAATAATAATAAACCTTTATTTATACCCTGCTACCATCTCCTGCAGGACTCGGTGCGGCTTACAAGAGGTCGAGCCCAAACTCAAGGCCCAAGATTCCTAGTCAAGTTTTGCTTCCTGTGTTAAGGTTTCAAGTTCTTGTTTCGTTCCTTGTTTTCTGGATTAATGTTCAAGTTTTAACTCTTGTCTTTGGGATTTACCTTTTGCCTATGGGACCTACTTTCTATATACACACTTGGATTTTTACTCTATTATTTGCTTAAAGTGCTTCTGGCCCTTTCTTATATGTGTTTTATCAATAAACCATTTAATACCACGACTGGTTTCCTGGTGAGTGCTTTGAGCAAGGGGAAAGCCTGCTGAGATGCAACAAGTGAAGCAGTCTTTGGCTTCAAAGTTTTGGATAGGCCTAGTAGTTGAATTTCAGGGAGGACTGTAGGCCTTTTCTGCAGCTCTAGAGCAGAGCTCCTTAAACTTTTCAGGACTCCTTTAGGCCTGAGAAATGTTGACATGACCCCAAGTATATAGGTATTTAAAACAGGTATGAAAATCAAATGTTTACTGATAAACAGGTAGGTTTTCCTTTGGATGAATTACAGCAGAAGCCTCTTCTGCAGAGTTCATTCTAAATACAGAAGAGGCTTCAGCTGTAATTCATCCAAAGGAAAACCTACCTGTTTCCCGTAAATGTTTGATTTTCATGCCTGTCTTAAATACCTATATACCTGGGGTCACGTCAACATTTCCCAGGCCAAAAGGGGTTCTGAAAAGTTTGAGAAGCCCTGCTCTAGAGTTGCAGAAAAGGGCTACAGTCCTCCTCGAAATAATAATAATAATAATAATAATAATAATAATAATAATAATAATAATAATAATAATCTTTATTTGTGCCCCGCTCCATCTCCCCAATGGGGACTTGGTGCGGCTTACATGAGGCCAAGCCCAAAACAACAATTACATGAAATAAAACAAAACCGAAAACGCAAGTAATAAACAATAATAACGCAATTGCATAAAACAAAAGACAACATAGAAATATAAAATTACAATAAACACAATTAAATACAATCACGGTAACATGGGTGAGCTACATGTAATGGATAAAAGAAAATTAAGTAGAAACAGATTAAAATTCAACCATTGGGTATCCTAGACCTATCCAAAACTTTGAAGCCAAAGACTGACATGTTTCTGCGGTAGGATCAGTTTTATGGGTGGAAAATTGAGGTCTGCAATGGAGGACCATATCCCAGGCCTTCAGTTGACAGGTTGCAGCCTCTCCTTCCAGCAAATGGCAGAATTTGGAGCCCACATCAAAACAAAATCTACCTAGACCCTTCCAGAACCAGAACACAGGTGTATAATGGGTCCCCCAACTGGGAGGAAGGGGTTCCCCAGCTCGGATGGATGTCAAAGGACTAAAAAGTCCAGAAGCCAACACTCTGCAGTTTATAGTGCAGAATGCAGTGCAAAACCCTGCAAGAGAAATGAGACAGTGCAGATGTGACCCATCTCTCTTCCTAACAGAAGTCAGAGCAGCACAAGCCAGTTAGCAACAGGACTGTTTATTCCCTCGATATGGTTCCTCCGTTGAATGCTCAGGTGAAAGGAGCCTAGTGTCTAGATCTAGGGAAGTCATGCTCCCCATGCTCTATTCTGCTTTGGTTAGACCACACCTGGAATATTGTGTCCAATTCTCGGCACTACAATTTAAGGGAGATGTTGACAAGCTGGAATGTGTCCAGAGGAGGGCGACTAAAGGGCTTGGTCTGGAGAACAAGCCCTATGAGGAGTGGTTTCAAAAGCTGGGCATGTTTAGCCTGAAGAAGATTGAGGGAAGACATGATAGCCAGGTATAAATATGTGAGAGGAAGTCATAGGGAGGAGGGAGCAAGCTTCCTTTCTGCTTCCTTGGAGACTAGGACGCAGAACAATGGCCTCAAAATACAAGAGAGGAGATTCCATCTGAACATTAGGAAGAACTTCCTGACTGTGAGAGCCGTTCAGCAGTGGAACTCTCTGCCCCGAAGGGAGTGTGGTGGAGGCTCCTTCTTTGGAAGCTTTTAAGCAGAGGCTGGATGGCCATCTGTCAGGGGTGATTTGAATGCAATATTCCTGCTTCTTGGCAGAATGGGGTTGGACTGGATGGCCCATGAGGTCTCTTCCAACTCTTTGATTCTATGATTCTATGATTCTATGATTCTATGATTCTATGAAAGAATAAGCCAATAAGACCCATATTTACTCAAGCTCTAATGCACACCTCGACTTTCAAAATCCTGAGACCAAAAAAAAAGTTTTTGCTGAGTAATGTCATGTGCAGTAGTGACAAAAAGGACACTCTCTGTAATATGGACATTACAGGTGCTGCTTGCTTAGCATTCCTTCTTCAAAAGCAAAAGTATTAGAGCACGAAAGCTTCCAGCAATGGAAAAGAAACTGCTGCAAAATGAATCCACTTTAAGTACCTTGTTCCAATGTTATGGAGTCGTGCGGGATATAGTTTGACAAGGTCTTGAGCCTTCTCGGCCAAAGAGCGCGGATGCCTCACCACATTACAGATCTCAGCAAGACCACTTGCCAGTAGTACAGCATTACCATATTATGCAAATCTACCATGCCCCCTAGACTTGGGAAGGTGATTTAGCCAAAAAAAGGTGAGCATTAAATTCGAGTAAATTACTCTTATGCCGCTCTAAACTTCGGTCATGACACGGGTAAGGATCCTCCAATCCACTGACCACAGCAGGACAGGAAAGGAAGTGCCCCAAAGGGGGGTACCTTGGACTTGGTCATTTCGTTGGAGGCCAGGAAGATGACGACCTTGGCCGTGCTCTTGTCCAGCTGGGACAGGCTGCCCTTGACCACCGCCTCCATGGCCCTCAGGATGATGATCCGGTGCGGGTAGGCCAGCTGGGAAGAGGGAGAGAAAGAGAAAAGAGCGTTGGGCGATTTCAAGAAGCAAAGGAGTGTAATATATTATAATAATATAATAATATAGTGTAATATATTATAATAATATTATAATAAATATAATAATGAACATAGTATAATATAAGGTGTTACTGCAGGATGTCCATCGTGCAGAGACAAAGTTTTGGTAGTTGAATAAACATTTCCCATGTTTATTATAATAGAACCAATTAGGAAATGATACTGATAACCCAGGAACAAAAATTGTGTTACAAAACATTATTGTTGTTGTTGTTACTCTTTGTGGGCGTCTGGCCTCACCTTGTCATGCTGCCGAAGGTACTCCTCGCAGGCGTGCAAGATCTCCTCCGGCTCCTGCCCGCCCAAGTAGCATAAAGCACTGAAGATCTGCTCGTGGACCAGCGGGTCCTTATCCGTGGTGGCATCCATCAGGGTAGTGGCCAGCTCTGGAAGAGAAGAATCATAGAATCCTAGAATCCAAGAGTTGGAAGAGACCTCCTGGGCCATCCAGTCCAACACCCTGCCAAGAAGCAGGAATATTGCATTCAAATCACCCCTGACAGATGGCCATCCAGCCCCTGTTTAAAAGCTTCCAAAGAAGGAGCCTCCACCACACTCCAGGGCAGAGAGTTCCACTGCTGAACGGCTCTCAGTGGAACACTCTGCACCGGAGTGTGGTGGAGGAAAAAGAGGCTTTGGACACTTTTCCAGAATCACCAAGTTCTTGCATTCACCTCCGTGGCCCTTCCGGCTTCCAGAGCACGCATGGGCCAACTTCGGCTCTTCCTCCAGGTGTTTTGGACTTCAACTCCCACAATTCCTAACAGAGGCTGGATGGCCATCTGTCAGGGGGGCTTTGAATGCCATTTTCCTGCTTCTTGGCAGCATGGGGTTGGACTGGGTGGCCCACCAGGTCTCTTCCAACTCTAGGATTCTATGATACCTTCTCTGGAGAATTGTAAACAGAGGCTGGGACTTGAAGTCCAAAACACCTAGAGAACCAAATTTTGTCCAGGCCTGGCTTAGAAGTACATTTGAGTTGGGATTTTATTTGGATTCTCCGCCATTCTAATTCACTTCTAAAACCAATATGGTCTTATTTGCCCTTCAAAGAGAAAGAGAACAACGATTATTACAGGATGGAAAGAAAGCCGCAAGGTCACCATCTCCATCAAGCCAAGCTTCTCAAAATCAAGGGCTGATGCATAAATGGAAGAACTGAAGGAAAATCCATTATCACAGGGACGTTGCTGAGCAGCCGGCTTCTACGCTCAGGGTTTGATTACCCTTTTGGGTCATTTTTAAATTCCCTTTTATTTCATGACATGGAGTCTGGACCACAGAAAGGAAGAAGAACCTAAGTAAGAAAACGAACAATCTAGAATCCGCTTTACCGTCTTATTATTATTATTATTATTATTATTATTATTATTATTATTATTATAATACAATGGCACAGTGGGTTAAGTCAGTGTTTCTCAACCTGGGGGTCGGGACCCCTGGAGGGGTCGCGAGGGGGTGTCAGAGGGGTCGCCAAAGACCATCAAAAAACAGTATTTTCTGTTGGTCATGGGGGTTCTGTGTGGGAAGTTTAGCCCAATTCTATCGTTGGTGGGGTTCAGGATGCTCTGTGATTGTAGGTGAACTATAAATCCCAGCAACTACAACTCCCAAATGTTAAGATTCTATTTTCCCCAAACTCCACCAGTGTTCACACTTGGGCATATTGAGTATTCTTGTAGAATTTGGTCCAGATCCATCACTCTTTGAATCTACAGTGATCTCTGGATGTAGGTGAACTACAACTCCAAAACCAAAGGACACTGCCCACCAAACCCTTCCAGTATTTTCTGTTGGTCATGGGAGAACTGTGTGCCAAGTTTGGTTCAAGTCCATCGTTGGTGGGGTTCAGAATGCTCTGTGATTGTAGGTGAACTATAAATCCCAGCAACTACAACTCCCAAATGACAAAATCAGTTTTTTGAGTGCAGTACATACATTGGGTTGTTAGGTGTCTTGTGCCCAAATTTGGTGTCAATTCGTCCAGTGGTTTTTGAGTTCTGTTAATCCCACAAACGAACATTACATTTTTATTTATATAGATTATACAATGGCGCAATGGGTTAAGTTATTATTTATTTGTTTATTTATTATTTACAGTATTTATATTCCACCCTTCACACCCCACAGGGGACACAGGGCGGATCACAATGCACATAGACATGGCAAACATTCGATGCCATAGACACACAACATATATAGACAGACACACGAAGACTATTTAACTTTCTAGCTTCATGAGGGTATGCTTTTTGAATTCCAGCCACTGGGGGAGCTGTTGCTTCACCGTCCACTCGTGACACTGATGGAGTACTTCCTCATTCTTTTGCTCGCTGCTGGAGATTTTTATGGCATTGTAAATTAAATTAGCCTCTCCACGTAAGCAGTATCTAAATTTCCTACATGACAGATACAACTGTCTTTCGGGCTGCAAAAGTTTACAGCAAGTTAGGCAAATTGTCAGGAGCTTACTCCGACTCAGGCTGGCTTCAAACTCATGGCCTTTCGGGTCAGTAGTGATTTTAATGCAGCTGACTTCCAATCAGCTGCGCTACTACTGGTGCCGGCAGGACTTGAAGGCTGACAGATCAGGACAACCCTTGTGCCAGCAGGTCAGTGGTTCGAATCTTGGGAGAGTGCAGATGAGCTCCCTCTGTCAGCTCCAGCTCCTCACATGGGGACATGAGAGAAGCCTCCCACAAGGATGGTCAAACATCAAAACATCAGGGGTAAAGTCCTTTCAGATGGCCAATTCTCTCACACCAGAAGCGACTTGCAGTTTTGCAGGTCTTTCCTGACACACACACACACAAACACTTTAACTGGTACACTTCCATACTTTGAAATCTTGGGATTTATACTTTGGTGAGGCAGCAGCACTTTTTGGCAGTGAGTGGGATTTATACTTTGGTGAGGCACACTTTTGCAGGGAAAGCAAAAAAACTTTGCAAAACTCCAAATGCCATGATTCCATTGCATTGAGTCATTGCAGCTAAAGTGGTGTCAAACTGCATTAAATTCCACAGTGGAGATGCACCCTATGCCTTCATTTCTTGCACTTTCTCCTTGCTGTTTCATGTCTTTGCCTTTCTTTTTGTAATATATATATATATATATATAATAATTATTATTATATTTATATTTCCTTTTGTACTCATTAATCCTGAACCTAAACTATGTTCTTTTTCTCAACCATATTGTTTTGATGTTTACAATTGTGATTTTTTAAATATTTTATCTGATGTTTTTAATTTGTTTTGTTTTATTTGTAATTTTTGGGCTTGTCCCTTGTAAGCCGCCCTGAGTCCCCTTGGGGAGATGGTTGGCGGGGTATAAAATAAAGTTGTTGTTGTTGTTGTTGCTGTTGTTATTATTATTATTATTATTATTATTATATTTTCTCTCTCTTTTTTTTTTTTAATTAAATTTTTGGATTTTCTTAATACAGTGAAAGTGTGGGAACAATGTACTGGATAGAAAGGGTGGGAAATATGGCGAATAGTGTGGGGAAGGACGTGAGATGGGGAGGGAGGGAAAGAGAAAGGGGAAAAGGGAAGGAAATCTAAGGATGGGATAAGGGGGAAGGAAGGGGGATGGTCGTCAGACTCCCGTTCAGTCTACAGGAAAGTTTCCTCTTGTCCTTGAATTTGTTCTTTTACATTCTTAAGATTATTTCTTGACTGTAGCATCTTATAAATCTAATTTAGTTTGTTTCCTAAAATATTCTTCTATATCTTTCCAATTTATTTGTTTATTTTCTTCTTCTTTTCCTAAGGCTTGCGAGAGTTTGTCTAAATTCCTGAATTCTATCAACTTTTCAAACCACTCTTTGCTGCTAGGAATCTCCTTGTTTTTCCATTTTTTTGCAATTAGAATTTTGGCTGCTGTAGATAAATAAAAGAGCGTTTTTTCTTGTCTTATTTTGAAATTTGTATTCGTTATATTCAGTAGGTAAGTTTCAGGTTTCATATCAAATTTTGTGTGGATAATGTTTTGGGTATGGTTGTGTACCATCTTCCAAAATTTCTTAACTTCCCTACATTGCCAGAATTGGTGGTAATAGGTTCCATTTTCTTTTTTGCATTTCCAACATATCCCATCATTTTTCTTGTTAAATTTGGCCAGTTGTATTGGTGTTAGATGCCACCTGTAAAATACCTTGTACCAATTCTCTATTAAATTAGTTGCCTTTGTGAATTTTAATTTGTTTCTCCAGACTTGTTCCCACTCGTCAAGTAGTATTGAGTGGCCGATGTCTTTGGCCCATTTGGTCATGTTTTCTTTGATCACTTCCTTTTCATTCTTCCATTCAAGTAATTTCTGGTATAATATTTTGATCAATTTTTTGTCTTTTTTCATCACTAGATCCCAGCATGTGTCGATTTCGTTGAAGCCCAATTTTAGATCTTTTTTGAAGTGTTCTTTAATCTGTAGATAATGGAGCCAGCTCATTCCCTTGTCTTCTTTTTTCAACTCTTCTAGTGGTCTCAGTTGCCGTTCTCCATTATTCTTGATGGTCAATTGGTTATAGTTGAGCCACCTCTCTCTTAAAAATGCAACAAAACGTGTTTTCAGAAATTAATCAGCAGACGAGAAATATGACAAGCAGCCGGTCGGAGCAGCATTCTTGCTCCCTTGGAGTGTGACCAGGAGGAAGGAAACTGAAGGCAATGGGGAAGGACGGAGGTGGAGAGGCAGAGGCCAGAGAAAGGAAGGTCAGCTGCCCATTGCGGCCCGTTGGTCAACCTTGCTGGGCCTGCAGCCAGGCGGGAAGCCCTGCGGAACAAGCTCGGCCTCTCTGACCTCCCAGCCCTGTTGCAATTCAGCATTCCGAGATCTAGACCCAGCCGGTCTGAGACCCGGCAAAGAGGTTCATTGCCATCAGGTGGAAAGGGTGAGCAAACCCAAAGCAAAGGAAGAGACCTGGCTGCAGAACCATCCCTTTGCAGTGCAGGAAATTCAAGCCCCAAACTGTAGGTTATGACACACAATCAAAACAAAGCTTGGTAGTTGATTAAATGTACTTTGACTAGTATCTGGCCACTTGGAGTGCGTCTGGTGTTGCCGCAAGGAGGTCCTCCCTTGTGCATGTGGCAGGCATAACCTGGGGATCACAACCAGACACAGTGAAGACATCTGCCCTTGCGCTATGCTACTCTGCTGCTGAGTACGCATGCCCAGGGTGGAACACATCTGACCACACTAAAACAGTGGATGTGGCTCTTAATGAGACATGCTGCATTATCACGGGGTGTCTGCGCCCTTTGCCACTGGAGAAATTACACTGTCTAGCCAGTATTGCACCACCTGACATCCGCCGGGAAGTAGCAGCCAATAGTGAAAGGACCAAGGCAGAGACATCTCCAGCTCATCCCCTGTTTGGGTATCAGCCAGCACGTCAACGACTTAAATCTAGAAATAGTTCTCTAAGATCTACAGAGACACTCGCTGGAACACCTCAGCAAGCGAGAGTCCAAAAGTGGCAGGCTCAAACCCAGAACCCCAACCAATGGCTGATACCAAATGAGAGTCTCCCCCCTGGGCACACAGAGGACTGGGCGACTTGGAAGGCGCTGAACAGACTGCGCTCTGGCACCACAAGATGCAGAGCCAACCTTCAGAAATGGGGCACAAAGTGGAATCCATGACATGCGAGTGTGAAGAAGAGCCAACCACTGACCACCTGCTGCAATGCACCCTGAGCCCTGCCACATGAGGCACAATGGAGGACCTCCTTGCGGCAACACCAGAGGCACTCCAAGGGGCCAGATATTGATCAAAGGACATTTAATCAACTACCAAGTTTGCAAAATTTGTGGAGTTTTTTATCTGTTTGTTTGTTTTGTTCTGTTAGAAATGTAATACAATGGTCTGGTTGCTGATGACACGATAAATAAATAAAGCTGGTTTTCCCTGTAATCAGCAGTCATTTATTTATTTATTTATTTCGGTTTCTTCTACCCCGCCCTTCTCACCCCGAAGGGGACTCAGGGCGGCTTACAAAGCAAAGGCACAATTCGATGCCCACATCACATAACAGTCAAAAACAGAAATAGCATCAATTCACAGTTAACAACAATTGCTACATTACAACTATAAAACCAATAAAATCAATAAAACCAATACAAACCCAATTCCTCCTCATAAACGGTCAGCGTTCGCTATCTCATAGTTCTATTTTCAATTCCACATTGTCAGTCCTGGTCATACTCGTCTGATTATCTTCTCTAATTGTCAGGGTGCCCAAAGGCCTGGTCCCACAACCACGTCTTTACCTTCCTCCTGAAGGAGAGGAGGGATGATGACGCCCTAATTTCCCCCAGGAGTGAGTTCCACAGGTGAGGGGCCACCACTGAGAAAGCCCTGCTCCTCATCCCCACCAGCCTCACTTGTGACAGTGGTGGGGTCGAGAGCACGGCCTCCCCAGATGATCTCAAACTCCGGGGTGGGACGTAGAGGGAGATACGTTCGGACAGGTACACTGGACCGGAACCGTAAAGGGTTTTGTAGGTCAAAACCAGCACCTTGAATTGTGCTCGGAACTGAGCTGGCACAACGGGCGGGGCGGGGGGTTGCTCCCTGTATGTCGCTCCGGTGAGCAATCTGGCTGCCTCCCGCTGGACTAATTGAAGTTTCCGAACAGTCTTCAAGGGCAACCCCACGTAGAGTACGTTGCAGTAGTCTATACGGGATGTAACAAGAGCGTGGACCACCGTGGCCAGATCAGACTTCCCTAGGTACAGGCGCAGCTGGCGCACAAGTTTTAATTGTGCAAAAGGTCTCCCGGCCATCGCCGAGACCTGGGGTCAAGGCTCAGCGATGAGTCCAGGATCCCTCCCAAGCTGCGAACCTGCGTCTTCAGGGGGAGTGTGACCCCGTCTAACACAGGCTGTAACCCTATGCCCTGTTCGGCCTTACGACTGACCAGGAGGACCTCTGTCAGAGCACCTCGAGCTTCTGTTCAACCATCTCAAAACTCAATCAATCAAGGTTGCTGTGAGTTTTCCGGGCTGTCTGGCCATGTTCCAGGTTGTGTTATTACATCTATATATATAAATTTCCTACTGGCGTCCAACGAGGAAACAAAACTCTAAAACCCCTCCACACAACTCTACCAAAATTGCCATGCCCCAAGGACAACCCACTAGGTACAAACTAATCCACTCAGAAATCAAAACCACACAACAACAACCACAAAAAACAGCAAAACAACTGAGCATGCGCACTGGCGCAAACTCCCTGGCGCGCGCACACACATGGCCCCTCACCCCCCCCGGCGCGGCGCACACACGCGCACACACGCGCGCGTGCGCACGGCCCCTCACCCCCCCGCGCGGCACACACACACACGCGCGTGCCCCCTCTCCCCCCCGGCGCGGCACACACACGCGCGCGCGCCCCCAACCCCCCCCTGGCGCGGCACGCACACGCGCGCGCGCACGCGCCCCCTCTCTCTCCTCCGGCGCGGCACACACACGCACGCACACACACGCGCGCGCGTGCCCCCTCCCACCCCCCGGCGCTTACCCCCAAGCCACGCCCCTTCTAAACCCATCCCCCCTCCCCTCCTCCCTCCTCACGTTACCTCCAAGCCACGCCCCCTTCTAAACCCATCCCCCCTCCCCCTCCCTCTACCCTCCTCACGTTACCTCCAAGCCACGCCCCCTTCTAATCTGTCAAGGAAGAATCATAGAATCATAGAATCAAAGAGTTGGAAGAGACCTCATGGGCCATCCAGTCCAACCCCATTCTGCCAAGAAGCAGGAATATTGCATTCAAATCACCCCTGACAGGAGAGAAAGAGGGAGGGAAAAAGAAGGAAGGAAGGAATGAGGTAGAAAAGGAAGAAAGGAGAGAAAGAGGGAGGGAAAGCAAGAAGGAAGGAATGAGGTAGAAAAGGAAGAAAGGAGAGAAAGAGGGAGGGAAAGCAAGAAGGAAGGAATGAGGTAGAAAAGGAAGAAAGGAGAGAAAGAGGGAGGGAAAGAAAAAGGGGGAGGAAGGAAAGTTAGAGAAAGAAGGGAGGAGAGAAGGAAAGAAAAAAGGGAAAGAAGGAAGGAAAGAAGGAGCGAAGGAAGGGGGGAAGATGTAGAGAAAGAGGGAGGGAAGGAAAGATGGAAAGAGAGAAGGAAGAAAAGAGAGACTGCAGAAGAGAAAAAGGAAGAAGGAAGGAAAGAGGGAGCGAAGGAAGGGGATAAAATGTAGAGAAAGAGGGAAGGAAAGAAGGGAAGAGAGAAGGAAGAAAAGAGAGACAGCAGAAGAGAAAGAAAAAGGGGGAAGGAAGGAAAGAGATAGAGAAGGAAGGAAGGAGAGAAGGAAAGACGGGAAGGAAGGAAGGAAACAGGGAGTGAAGGAAGGAGGGAAAGAAGGGGAGATAGGGGGAAGGTTGGCCACAGCAACGCGTGGCGGGTACAGCTAGTACTTAATAAAAACTATTTTTAAAAAATGAATGATAAAGCCAATTAACGCCAAAAGCGTTCCCATCCCGCGTGGCATACTCACTCTTCACCCGCGACTCTGACATCTTCCTTGTCTTTGGGTTTTCCAGCCCAAGGATCTGAGGGCAGCAGCTCCAAGCCGGAGGGGTCCCGATTCTGGAAAAGGACCCACACTCCAAGGCTCAACACTGGGTTGGGAAAGACCCCGAGCAGCGTGTCCCTGGGTCCATGCAGCCCAAGAAGAACCTCCTCTGGTGCTTCGCTCTATGTCTCCCAGTTGCCGGCCAGTCCCAAGCAGCAAAATGCAGAACTCCTATTCCCCTCACTCATCCTTGCAGAGGAAACATTTGAGGAAAATTCACCGGAGGAGCTGGCTTCCAGGGAGGCTCGCTTTTTACTTCCTGGGCCTGTGGAAAAGGAAAAGAAATCTTAGCACAAATCTTTGCGTTCATAGGCCACACAAACAGTCAAATCAGATAACCTGGTAAGGCAGTGTTTCTCAACCTGGGGGTCGGGACCCCTGGGGGGGTCGCGAGGGGGTGTTGGAGGGGTCGCCAAAAGCCATCAGGACACACAGTATTTTCTGCTGGTCATGGGAGCTCTGTGTGGGAAGTCTGGCCCAATTTTGTCATTGGTGGGGTTCAGAATGCTCTCTGATTGTAGGTGAACTATAAATTCCAGCAACTACAACTTCCAAATGTCAAGATCTATTTTCCCTAAACTCCACCAGTGTTCACATTTGGGCATATTGGGTATTTGTGCCAAGTTTAGTCTAGATCTATCATTGTTTGAGTCCAACAATGTTTTCTGGAGATTGGTGAACTACAACTCCCAAGCTCAAGGCCAATGCTCACCTACCCCTTTTATTATTTTTTGCTGGTCATGGGCGTTCTGTGTGCCAAGTTTGGGTCAATTCCATCTCTAGTGGAGTTTGGAATGCTCTTTGATTGTAGGTGAACTATAAATCCCAGCAACTACAACTTCCAAAGTCCAGAGAATGAAAATACATCCTGCCTATCAGATATTTACATGTCGATTCATAACAGCAGCAAAATTCCAGCTATTAAGTAGCAATGAAAATAATTTTAGGGTTGGGGGTCACCACAACATGAGGAACTGTATTAAGGGGTCACAGCCTTAGGAAGATTGAGAACCACTGCGGTAAGGAGATTCCTTCTCTTTGGTGTTGCAAGCTGCAACAGGAGACTTTGAGTCTCCTTTTGTAGAGAAAAAGCAGGGTATAAATAAATAAATAATAATAATAATATCTATATAAATAAAAATGTAATGTTCGTTTGTGGGACTAACAGAACTCAAAAACCACTGGATGAATTGACACCAAATTTGGACACAAGACACCTAACAACCCAATGTATGTCCTTCACTAAAAAAATTGATTTTGTCATTTGGGAGTTGTAGTTGCTGGGATTTATAGTTCACCTACAATCAAAGAGCATTCTGAACTCCACCAATGATGGAATTGAACCAAACTTGCACACAGAAATCCCGGCTCCCAACAGAAAAAAACTGGAAGGGTTTGGTGGGCATTGACCTTGAGTTTGGGAGTTGTAGTTCATCTACATCCAGAGAACACTGTGGACTCAAACAATGATGGATCTGGACCAAACATGGCACGAATATTCCATATGCCCAAATATGAACACAGATGGAATTTAAGGGAAATAGACCTTGACATTTGGGAGTTGTAGTTGCTGGGATTTATAGTTCACCTACAATCAAAGAGCATTCTGAACTCCACCAATGATGGAATTAAACCAAACATAGCACACAGGGCTCCCATGACCAACATAAAAAAGCACACAGGGCTCCCAACAGAAAAAACTGGAAGGGTTTGGTGGGCATTGACCTTGAGTTTGGGAGTTGTAGTTCATCTACATCCAGAGAACACTGTGGACTCAAACAATGATGGATCTGGACCAAACATGGCACGAATATTCCATATGCCCAAATATGAACACAGATGGAATTTAAGGGAAATAGACCTTGACATTTGGGAGTTGTAGTTGCTGGGATTTATAGTTCACCTACAATCAAAGAGCATTCTGAACTCCACCAATGATGGAATTAAACCAAACATAGCACACAGGGCTCCCATGACCAACATAAAAAAGCACACAGGGCTCCCAACAGAAAAAACTGGAAGGGTTTGGTGGGCATTGACCTTGAGTTTGGGAGTTGTAGTTCATCTACATCCAGAGAACACTGTGGACTCAAACAATGATGGACCTGGACCAAACATGGCACGAATATTCCATATGCCCAAATATGAACACAGATGGAATTTAAGGGAAATAGACCTTGACATTTGGGAGTTGTAGTTGCTGGGATTTATAGTTCACCTACAATAAAAGAGGATTCTGAACTCCACCAATGATGGAATTGAACCAAACATGGCATACAGGACTTCCATGACCAACAGAACACACTGGAAGGGTTTGGTGGGTATTGACCTTGAGTTTGGGAGTTGTAGTTCACCTACATCCAGAGAGCACTGTGGACTCAAACAATGATGGATCTGGACCAAACTTGGCACGAATATTCCATATGCCCAAATGAACACAGATGGAATTTAAGGGAAATAGACCTTGACATTTGGGAGTTGTAGTTGCTGGGATTTATAGTTCACCTACAATAAAAGAGGATTCTGAACTCCACCAATGATGGAATTGAACCAAACATGGCATACAGGACTTCCATGACCAACAGAACACACTGGAAGGGTTTGGTGGGTATTGACCTTGAGTTTGGGAGTTGTAGTTCACCTACATCCAGAGAGCACTGTGGACTCAAACAATGATGGATCTGGACCAAACTTGGCACGAATATTCCATATGCCGAAATATGAACACAGATGGAGTTTGGGGAAATAGACCTTGACATTTGGGATTTGTAGTTACTGGGATTTATAGTTCACTACAATTAAAGAGCATTCTGAAACCCACAAACAACAGAAATGGGGCAAACTTCCCACACAGAACCCCCATGACCAACAGAAAATACTTAAGGCCATCCAGTCCAACTCTCTTCACCAGGGCAAGAAAATGTAATCAGAGCCCTCCTGACAGAGAGCCATCCAGCCATAGATATAGATAGATATATATGATTCTCACACACACACACAGATATAGTATCACGGATTTGAAAGAGACCGTTAAAGAAGGACAATGATATGTTGCCTGTTCCAGAGTGGGCAAACCAGACACTCTCCACATCAACACTGACAAAGAAACAACAAGAAATACTGTTTACTCACAAGCATAAAGGAAATACATATATTAGAAACCAACACTTTCTCATTACTTTATTTTCCAGACTGGGCCACAGCAACGCCTGGCAGGGGACAGCAAGTAATAATAATAATAATAATAGTAATAATAAACTTCTCAAAGCACAGCAGACAAAGAGTCAGTACAAGAAAACTGCACTCCAAACCAGAGCTGACAGCTGGCACAACAAAGACCACCCTTCTCAGATCTGCACACATTATTCGCCAATACATCACACAGTCCTTGACTCTTGAGAAGTGTCCAATGTGTGATCTAACACAACAGCCAGCGGAGTGATCTTGTTTGCTGTGAACTAATCTTCTTGTGTATCAAATAATAATGATATTTTATTTTTTAAATTTATTTACTTGACTTGTATACCGCTACTCCCAGTTTGGCTCGGAGCGGTTTACAAAAGCAAATTAAAACAATACAATTAGCTTTAAAAAATAACCATAACAATAACAATAAGCAGCAAGAACAGTCATAGCCCGGGTTGTTCACCCATCAAAAAGCTTGCCGGAAAAGAAAAGTTTTACATTAATAACAATAACAATAATAATGTAAAGGAAAGCCAAGAACCTGCTTTCATTGAAGTCAGTAATCAGAAACTTCTCAAGCACAGCAGACAAAGAACCAGTACAAGAAAACTGCACTCCAAACCAGAGCTGACAGCCGGCACAACAAAGCCTTGCATGGGCACTTCCTTGAGAAGATTGAAGGGAAAGTTGACAAGGAGAAGACCTGGTGATGGCTCACGAATGGAACCCTGAAGAAGGAGACAGAAGAAGGCCTGATTCTTGCAGCCCAGGAGCAAGCCATCAGGACAAATGCAATTAAGGCCAGGGTTGAAAAATCAGCCAATGACCCAAAATGCAGACTGTGCAAGGAAGCGGATGAAACCATGGATTATCCTCAGCTGCTGCAAGAAAATCGCACAGACGGACTACAAACAGAGGCACAACTCTGTGGCCCAAAGGATTCACAAGAACTTATGTCACAAAGACCACCTTCCAGGAATAAAGAACTGGTAAAGGGATCCCGCCTGCAACTGAGGCACGGTTGGCAGGGACGAGGGACAGGGCCTTCTCAGTGGTGGCCCCTCGGCTGTGGAATACCCTTCCCACAGACATTAGATCGGCTCCCTCATTAATGGCATTTCGGAAGAAAGTGAAAACCTGGTTATTTGAACAGGCGTTTGAATAGGCAGTGCAATGAATAATGATGAATTATAGGAAACCGGAACAACGGATGACGAGCTTGGATTACGATTTTAGTTATGAGACGCTAATGAGTTCTTATTGATGTTTATTGATGTTAATTGCTTAGTGTATTATTGTGTTAGTTGTTTTTTTTTTATATGGTTTGTATGATGCTAGCATTGAATTTCTGCTGCTGTTTGTTGTTAACCGCTCTGAGTCGCCTAAGGGCTGAGAAGAGCGGTATACAAATAAAGTAAATAAATAATAAATAAATAAACCCGCAAAGGTCGTGAAAAATGAACATGCAAAACTACTGTGGGACTTTCGAATCCAGTCTGACAAAGTTTTGGAACACAACACGCCAGACATCACGATTGTGGAAAAGAAAAAAGTCTGGATGGTTGATGTCGCCATTCCAGGTGAGAGTCGCATTGAGGAAAAACAACAGGAAAAACTCAGCCACTATCAAGACCTCAAAACTGAACGGCAAAGGCTCTGATTGCATCAACCAGCACAGGTGGTCCCGGTGGTAATGGGCACACTGGGTGCCGTGCCAAAAGATCTCAGCCGGCATTTGGAAACAATAAACATGGACAAAACCACGATCTGTCAACTGCAAAAGGCCACCAGAAATACATCACACAGTCCTAGACGCTTGGGAAGGGTTCGACTTGTGATTTTGTGATACGAAATCCAGCAGAGAGATCTCGTTTGCTGTGACATACTGTGCTTTTGTGTCAATAATAATAATAATAACAACAACAACAACAACTGTATGCTGGTGCTTTTATGCGAAGCCACTTTGAGTCTCCTTTGGGAGAGAGAAAGCAGGGTACAAATAAATAGTAATAATAATAACAAGAAAAACAACAGGATGAGGGGGAGAAAGCGGAAGGAGTAAGGCAGTGCTTTTCTCTT